TAAATTCTACTTTAATTCATACTTTTTTGCCTGAGAAACATGGAATTTTCTTTGTAAAGCTTATCCTAAGTACCCATGATAAGAAAATAAATAGCCCTTACCCCAGTCCTGTTCATACAAGGCTTGGGAAAGGCACCATGATTCACTTATTGGCATGTGTGGATGCACAAAAATAAGATGTTTTGTGAGACTTAAGACTCCAAGAAAACTTCATTATACAAATTATCAACAACAAAGCACTTATACATGTGATTTTTATTATATAAGTATGCATAAATCTTACACATTAAATATATAAACTCTATTTTAAAGGTCCTTCAAACTCCAATAAATGCACTCCACTGAATGTCTTGGATATATCAAGCATATACTATACAAATGAATAAAAAAACTTATTTCCTGCACAAACACAACATGGCAATAAAAAGCAAAGAATGTTATAAGCTAACCTAAGTTTTTAAATGCAGCCAATTATATAAAACACATATCTTCAGCAAAGACAGGGTGCATGAAAGGGAAACAAACCTTACAAAAGAAGGTGCACTCTGGAAACTTTCCTAATCCAAGCAGAATATTTTATTCACCTTGCATAACTGTAAGCAAGAACATTTTAAAGGAAGGGTGGGAGGTAACGCTGGTGTGAGTTCTCTTTTTATACTGGCTTTATTTAAATTACTAAAAGGTAACTAAGAAAAAAGACTAAAAGTCTATGGGTATGAATTTACTCTGAAAAAGTTCAAATATGAAACAGGCTGTATCACAAAGCTGTTACAGTAATATTATTCATCACAGTGGAAAGAGAAAATAACCTAGACATTGATCAATAGGGAAGTGGTTAAGTAAATGATGTACATGCATTCGGACACAGCCATAAAATGTTAGTACTTTAGCAAATATAAAAGTACTTCTAATATAACGCTAAATGGAGAAAAAAGGAGCATACAAAGTTGTAAATATAATATGGTAAAATATGATTAACAATAATATAAAAATAAGGATTAGAAAAAAGACTAAATGGAAGTATTCCAAAACAAGAGGAATTGCTTTCATTTTCTTTTTTCCAACATTTCTGTAATATACTGTTACTAATAGCCAGGCAGCTACCCCGGCCTCCTACCCTGGTTAACACACACACACACACACACACACACACACACCCACACACACCCCCACACACACACACCCCCCCCCAACCCACCACCCCCACCCCACCCCCGACCTAGTGTGAAGGATATTAGTAGCATTAACATTCTGCACTGATGCTGCATTGAAGAGATAATATTCTAGAAAATTAGTAAAAATACCTACCACCCATAAATTACAGTATTATGCACTTAAGCTTAATCGCTAAACTCCAATTTTAAAAATCTTGTTACGTAGGAATGACTATCTGTTCTTAAGTAACACCTAAAAAGGAATACTATCAACAGTTCTAATAAAATACTTACGACAAATGTATTTATGTAATCCAATAAAATAAGTAACTTTAACAAGACTGATATAATATGCTTCAAAAACATGCCTAGCAAATACACTAGAAAGTGGAATAAATACTACAGGTTGATAGAGTATCCTAAAGTAGGCATGTCAGCATGTTTACATAATCTTAGTATTTTATAATAAAATTGTTCTTTTAGTAATAATAAACATTCAAATTTCCTTTGTCCTCCAACATATGGAAGGCATAATAGTTCATCTAGAAAAACTATGAAGAGCAGTGCAATAGAGTTGTTTTCCATGAAAAGTAGTGGGGAATGTAGTTGAAAAATTTTGACCTCCAGAATAAGTAAGCCAAAGAAATTAGTTACTTGTCTACTAATATCTACGTATCAAAAATTACTGAATATATCAGAGTTAAACTTTTTAAAGTTGAAAATACATTAGGAGAGTTTGTATTCTTTGGTAATTATTTTATATAGACACATTTACTTCTAAAAATCTTAACAACTGCAAGCTTTAATGATGTTAATGTTGCCTTTACATGGCCATCTCTTGTGCATTTAGCTTTTGAATTTTACCTCTAAGAGAAAGACAAATATTTAACAGAGCAACTAAATTCTCTAAGAACCAGATGATGTTCACAAACTATTTATGGAAATTTGACTTCCTTTCAAAGACCTTTTCATACTTTTAATACTATGTTGGAATTTTTCTGTCAATTGGCATATCTATTTCATATTTGAGCTAAGAACCATTTTATATTTGAACAGATTAGTTCATACTCAGCTAAAACAATTAGAGGAAATGCAGTTGGTGTGCAAAACTAGTTTTCATAACAGACTTAAAAGGCAGTTATCTTCAATGTGGAATCCAGTCTGTTACAACTTTCTATCACAGCCTTTAATAATTAGGGCTAGAAATAAAATTTTAAATATCTATAAAACCACAACTGTGATTCAAAGACTTTCAAAGTAAATATATATTAAATAACTTTCTTAATTCTCTAGGTAGCTAGTTTGTTTTTAATATTTTGATAGTGCTATTAAAGTTTCAATTTATATACTAGCAATTATTTACAAAAAGTTTTATGAAAATCATATTTAAAAACAAAAATACCTGTGTTTTGAGGAAGCACTATAAAGAAGACTGTATTTTTAAAGAGCTGTCTAGAATACTTATCTGGCAAATTTTTATCCTACCTGTGAATTAACTATATTTTTGTCTACCTTTTCATCATTTACCCCTTTCAACTTGAGTTATTTATGGGTTTCTAGTACCCGACAAGATATACCTCAATTTTAAAGGAAATTTAACTCCTTAAGCAGCACTATTTTCCCTTAACTGGCTATATTAGTCAACAAAACCAGTTCTAAAAATGGAAAGGCTTGGAATGGGAAGCTGAAACTACACATTAGTCTCACTAATTGTTTTTCACTGTGAGCAAACCTGTTTAACAATGTCTCACAACTCTCTTAACTGCTTCAAGTAAATCTTCAGAGATTATATTCTGAGAGGTGTTGTCCATTAACGTTCTCTGGAAGGACACTTTCTTAGATTTACCAGGAACAAATTCACTGGATAAATTCCCCAGCCACTTATCAGTGAAATTTAAGGAGATGGGGAGATACTTATGAAACACATTTGATGTCAACCACATACATCACTCATCCAGATCCATTCCCCTCCTTAAACTTTACCCTCTGGTTTCCTCATTTCTGAAACCACATCCTGGGAATCAAATCTTTACCAAATTCAAAGCTTTTTAAAGTCTTCATCCTAGCTCCTTCATTTCTGGAAATGCCTCTGATAGTCCCTCCAAAAGTATAACTTTCCACAAGTCCTATGCCTTCTTAGGTAACTTTCTTCATTGATTTCTTTCTGCCAAACTCCAGATCACTCTGGTTTAAGAGCACAGACTCTGGACTCAAAATGCCTGAATTAAATCCTGACTATACACTTACTCTCTGTGTGAGAATGTAGGCAAGCTACTTAACTTCTACGTTCTTAGGTTTTCTTATCTCTAAAATGAGGATAATAATAGAACCTACTTCACAGGAATTGTGAAAACAAGTACACACACAAGTAAATACAAGTGAAGCATTTATAACAGAGCCTTGCATAAAACAACTAAGTGTTGGCCACTGGCAGGAGTAGCAGCAGCAGTGCATGCGCGCTTCTGCTGTTACTGCACCTGTAAACTAATCTTTTAGAGAAATCAGCCTCTCCTACAGACTGAACCACAGGCTTCAATCTTAGGCTAATAACTCCTGAAAGACGCTCCACGGTCTTATTTCCAAATTCCTACAAGTCAATTCTATTTGGGAGGCTCACGATGGGTTCAAATTCTAAATATTTAATAAGCAAACTCTTCCCTTTACCCCATTCCTCAACTTCCCCATTTAGATTTCCTATTCTGACTTCACACCATTCATTCAGACTCCTAAGCCTGGAGTTATCTTAGATGCCTCCTTTCCTTCTGCCCCTCCGGATTTTTGAGATACCAAATTCTGTAGACTATTCTCTTCCTCTCCTTCCCATGTCCACAATCCTAGTCATGGTGGCCAAAGCACTCAATCCCTCAAACCTGGGTTTCTACTTTTGCTTCAAAGTTGGACTTTCCCTTCATTTCTTTTCTCCATAAAACACTACCTTCCTTACATTATGTTTTCCCACTACTGGTTTCCTTTTGCCTTGTACACCAAATCTAAACTCAGCTACTCACCTTTTAAGATATTAACAATCAGTTCTTCACAATCCAATTTTATTCCTCACATTAGCAAGAATGGTTTTCCATGGATTCACACGCCCACTATGGTCACTGTGCCCATTTATGGTCTTGCAGCATCTGAAATGTGTGCTGTCCCACCTCTCTGTTTAGGCCCTTTCTATTCATTTGAGGCTCACCCCAAAACTCACGTCCTCACTAACCGGAAGGCTCCAATTCATTGCACATCTCAACTTTCTAACATCTCTCCATTCTTCCCTAGCATTACTCAGTATTACACCTGTCGAGTACTATGCTGGTCTTCATACTTCACAGCCTAGCATTTACTGTGTCAAAACATAATATTATTATGCACAGCACTGAATTATTCATTATTCCTTTAAAAAGCAGATATCATCTTACGCTTTGTTTACCCAGAGCATCTATAAGGCAGCAGTTATTTAGCATGTACTATGTGGTGCCTAACTGGGAGTTCCAAAATTGTGAACCTGAATTCTGATGCTCCAAGGCAGTGGTCAGCACACACTTTCTATAAAGGGCCAGAGAGTAAATATTTTAGGCTTTGTAGGCCACAAATCGTCTCTGTCACATATTCTTCTTCTTTTGTCCAACTACTTGAAAATGTAAAAAGTATTACTAGCTGAGAACCCTACATAAATAGGCCATGGTTTACCAACCCCTGCCTCCTCTAAGGAATAGTTCAGTGTCTTATACAGCCTCTCTAGAGTTGAGCATTTCTATCAATATTTAACTAATTTTTCTAAATTTTGGTTGGGCAAGCACTTTACATGACTTTTGATCTCTATCATAAAATGAGTAACCCCTGAGTTCTTACCAGCTCTTTCAGACTTTTCTTTCTGTTCCCGTAATTCCTCTCCCTGGGTAGTCATCTGTTTGATGCGACTACGAAGTTGAGCAATTTCTTCTTCTTTGATCTCCAGGGTTTCATGCATCTGACGTTTTGTCTCTGCTATTACCATTCCCTAAGCAGAAGCACAGGCTCTAAAGTGTTTGCATAACAAAACTGCATCATGAATAGCCATATGAAACTTACTTTAAAAGGCAGAAAACAAAGTATTTCTTACTAAATACAGCATAAGAATTTTTTCCTTATTTCACAAACTGAAGTCTGTATTTTTCACTATATGCTACACTACCTACTCTAATAACCTTGGTTACCTAGCTTAACATGGTATTTACATTAAAAACTATTTTAACAGCCCTGGCTGGTGTGGCACAGTTGGTTGGAGCATCACGCCGTAAACCTGAAGGTCTCAGGTTCAATTCCCCATCAAGGCACATTCTTAGGCTGCAGGTTCAGTTCCTGGTCAAGGTGCATGCAAGAGGCAACCAATCAATGTTTCTCTCTCGCATCGATGTTTTTTTCCCTCTCTCTCTCCCTCCCTCCTTTTTCCTCTCTCTAAAATCAATAAGCATGTCCTCAGGTGAGGATTAAAAACTATATATATACTATTTTAATAGTAAGTTTAATCTTTTGAGTACTAAAAATATTTTCATTTAAAAATTTATTTTATAATCTTTCCCAAAATGTTTACTATAATTTTCCCTATCTTAGTAAATAGTTTATAATGAGCAAAATACAGCCTTTTGGAATGGCTCAGAGCCATCGTGAACTATAGTGAGTCTGTGCTGTAACATGCAAAGAGCCTCAGAGGCTGCTGCGGATGTAAGGTTGCCCTGCCACGCTGGATGAACCAAGGCTGTGGAAAAGATCTACCTGGCTTTTCTCATTCCTCTTGTGGCAGTTTATAGTCCCACCACTAATCCTTATTATGTCAGTGAGGACACTACATGACTCCAATTTGCTAATTGCTACTGTCTTCCCATTCTCAGATAATCTACACAGGAAACAAAGGTCACTAAGTCAGTCATTTGTGACTAACAAAAAATGGGGTGGTTCAACTTGTCCTTGAAAAATAAGATATTGTGCCCTGGCTGGTGTGGCTCCGTGGTCTGAGTGCTGGCCTACGAACCAAAGGGTCACCGGTAAGATTCCCCGTCAGGGCACAGGGGTTGCCCTGGGTTGCGGGCCAGGTCCCTGGTTGGGGGGCATGCGAGAGGCAACCACACATTGATGTTTCCCTTCCTCTTTTTCTCCCTCCTTTCTCCTCTCTAAAAATAAATAAAATCTTTAAAAAATATAGAAGATTTTGTGACAGGTATTTTATGCTCTTAAGAAAATTACTACCTCACTCCCACGGTTTATACACCCCTGCTTAAGGGTAAGACTCTTACAGATGGCTATTAAACGGAAAGATAAAAACCAGGCAAGTGGGGCATTATTATATAAAATTTCAAGACAAAATCTTTAGCCGTCAGTTTCTTCAAAAACCAAATCACGACAGAAAAAGGAGAGAGAACGAGGGCAGTGAAACCTATAGATTAAAAGACATTTTAAAAGTCATATCAATCACTTGCAATGAAAGACTCTTATATGAATCCTGATTCATGAAAACAGAAAAATAATGTATGAGACAAAAGAGAAAATCTGAAACTAGATCATTGATCACATTAAGGAATTATTAAATATTGTATGTGATCATGATTATATGGCTCTATTTTTTTAATAGAGCCACATATTAAAGCCACTTAATTAAAAAAAATTTTAAAGATATAGCCCTTTATTTTAAAGTACATAAAGTACTTATGGAAGAAATTATAAGATTTCTTGAATTTTTTCTAAAAAGTTGAGAATAATGGGGGTTAGAAATGTACATATGAAGATTAACCATGATGTTAACTGTTGAAGCTGGGTGATGGGTTCATAGGCATTCACATCATTAAATCTCTCTACTTCTGTAAATGTTTTAAGTTTTTCTTAATCAAAAAGTTTTTTAAAGTGGACCTTCATGCAATATATAGAACTAAATCTAGCAAAATGATATTATAGAATGAAAAGACTGCTAATACATTTCAACAGAGTAGCTCTGACATGTTCTTAAGTAGAGCTACTTAAAACACTGTAACTACAAATTAGCATAGTAAAACAAATGGGTAATAATGTGTATGACTGGGAGCTGCTTTTAAATAAGGACCCAAGAACTTAGAGCTGAAAGAGTCAGGTCAAAACTCTTTGCCCAGGAATTTTTCAGTTGTCATTGCCACCGTAGCTAAAGCTGCAGCTCCAACTCTAAATCACCCATCTCATTCTGTTTAGGCTAATTATACAGTAACACTTCTTTTTTAGGCAATTTCTCTGAAAGATTATTCTGTTTCCATTATATTTGAAAGACAGTACAGTCATCATTCACATTTAGCAATGCCTTAATTATATATAACTTTTCTCTGAAACATGTTATGTACTAAAAACAGATTTCCTTTGCAACAGTTAGTCTAATCTACAAATCAAAATACTGACCAGGATCCAGAAATTACAAGAGAATCAGTTTCACATGATTCTAATGCTAACAGTTATCTCAATCTAGAAATTAAAATAAAAAGATTTTTCATGGAAGCAGCCACAATAATTTTGGAAAGCAGAAATCTGAATGCTTCTGATTGCTTCCAAAGGTGAATTTTAGGGCCCCCTGCCAAATTTTAGTATCATAAGTATTTTTATTTTACCTTATCTTGTTCAAGCTGTTCAATTAAGTTCTTTGCATCACGTAACTGAGTGATAAGTTTAGTCTTCTCAGCCATATGAAGCTCCTAAAAATTTTAAAAATTTTAAAAATTCATTTCCATTTCTAATAAAGCACCTCTTCATATGAGAACAGTCTAAACATTCTATCTAATTTAGTTACTTCTCATAGTCTAGAAAGAAAGGACACAGGATGTCTCAGAAGCATGGTAAATGCTATGAAGCCTATGGCACTTGGGAGCCCTTGTCCATGCTGTCTATGGAGGAAGGGAGAAGGCTTTGCAGAGGAGGTGCGGGCCACGCTGGGGCCTGCGGATCTAGCTTCATGGGGCTACCTTAAACAAAACTCATTGCTCTTTTACCTTCATCTTCTCTAGCTCTTGAAGTCTTTCATCTAGTTGTTCCTGCAGTGCTTCTTTTTCACTTGTTAATAGCGTACATTGTTCCTTATGTGACTGAATTGTTGCCTTACAACGCTGCAGTAGGCTTTCTTGACGCTTAACTCTTTGCTGAAGTATTTCCAGTGTTTTAGCAGAAGATCCATCTCCAACTATTAACAATAAAGCAGCATAAGCAGGGGCAGTCAGTGAGGAATATAAGGACTCCCTGGGGATAGTTAATTCTGTTAGTACGCAGGACTGTATTCTTATCCCAACACTCTGCTATACTCAGAGCCAGATCTATAAGAGTGTCTTAGATCTCATCCCAAAAGGATTACTAAAGTATTCCTTTCAATGTATTCTAATCTCTTCCAGAAAAAGAGTTCTGGTAAGTACACCTTTCTCCATGTCCTTACAATGATGAATGAAGTTTTCACACCTTGAGAATTTCGGGGCCCCTTACAGGTTGGTTGTTCAGATAGATGGCTGCTCAGCACCTTACTGTGGCTCTGGCTGGACCCAAGTTTATCATAATCTCTCACAAAGAGCTGGTAAGTAAGAAGTGGAAATTTCATTGAATGTGTACCTGAAAGCCTCAAAGAGTAGGGAGGACTAGAAATGGAGTCTAAGAAAAGATTTAACTATTCTTTTACAGTTAGATAGCAAATAATAGGGCAAACACAGACATCTTTGAATGCAAAAATATGTAAAAAATACTACTTAAAAACTTATAAACAAACAATCACAAACTGCATATTAACTAATCTCAAGTGGAACTAACCTGTTTATATGAAATCTAACTATTGCTATCAATAAAACAGTGTAAGATAATAAATTGATTTCAATTATAATGAAAGTGTGAAGCTACTACTCACAGGCTTCCAAGTCTTAAAACAATTACTTAGTTACTTTCTTCTCAATAACAACAACAAAGAACCAAAAAACAAAAACTCTTGCATCTTTCTGGATCAAGAACACTTTACTTCTATCTCAGTCCATGTCTACTAGTTCACACCCTAGAGTCTCTCAACATCCTCCTCCAATTTTTAAGTTAACATTTTGACAGGACGAAGCTTACCTACTGCTTCTCTATCACTCTCTGTGTTCTCTTTAGGGACACCTTCAGTCTGTGGTTCCATCGGAGGGAGTGGTGTTTGGAAATCAACATTCATTGGGCCATTTCGTAACCGCTGTTTTAACAGAGAAACCTAAAAAAATGTGCTTCATTAGGAAAAAATGATTCAAACGAAAACATGGCAGTAGTACTTCCTTTAAAACAGAGAAGATAGAGTAAATTACATCCTTTTTGTTATAGTGAGAGAAAAAATTAAAATAAAAAGTTTATTCCCAATGAAGTTGAATTTTATATTTCTTATTTTCTATAACAAATTTGGCTAACTATAATATCCTAGTTAGCCAAAAGATAATAAATCAACAATTATCCTTAAAATTAACTGAGGAATAGCAGTTTTAAAAATAGGCCATTTTTAAAAACATCTGGAACCTATTACCTAACCCATCAAAACCTCTTTATTTTTCTTTATCCAAAAACTCCACATTCTTAATCTTTTACCTGAGTCTGGAGAACACTGATATGCTGATCCTTTTCCTCTAACGATGCATCAAACTCCTCTTGAAGATGTTTCTTTGCTTGCTGGTCCATTTGGAGCTCCTAAAACATAAAGGATTTTATAGATAGTTTTCAGCATAAAACAAAAAATACACACTTGAAGTTTTCAAAACTTAAAGACATGATCAATCCAGATTTGCATTCCTCTTAAGACAAAGTATCAGCAACAATAATTTTTAAATAATCAACATTTAAAACATTAGTGTTTACACCAGCAAATAACTTTGATCCTTAAAAAATACGAAGATCCAAGAAGTATATTTTGTAACTGCAATGACTGCTGAATAGAGAATAGAAAAATTACGTAAGATAAAAATAAAACTTTATCCTACTTTAAGACATCTCATTACTGTGCTACCTTATATTCACTTTATCCACAATTAAATTATTATATTCCAAACAGAGACACAATGGAGCCTTCCTCCTTCCGAAATATGAAAAAGTGTTCAACAGCCAAAATCAGAAACCCCCTCATCAGCAAAATAAAAAGGTTCAACTAGTTCATCACCAGACAGTAAAATTTCAAGTTCTGAAATGACTCAAAATGCTTCTTTCTTCAGGTCGTTAATGAGCTTCCCGGACTGAATCCAATGATCTTGGTCTCTGTGCTCCAGCAGTCACCAATAATGACCTCCTCCGTACACGGGCTTCCCGGGGCTCCCGGGCTCCTGTCTCGCACAGCGCCTTCTCTGCCCTTCCCCGCTTCCAGGGGTGTCTGTTCCTCTGGTCTCAGCCCAGTATCCTCAGTGCTTCTCCCTCACACTACTCCATTGGCATGCAAGAGATTAACTTCTAGAACATTTTCGATATCCCAATAAAACAACTCTATTTTTCTGGGATTCCTACTTTGCTTACCTCAAGTCTTCCTCTGACTTGATCCATCCTTCACATATTTGCTAGAAAGCTCTCCTCAAAAAACATTTTCAAGGACTTGTAAGAAACGCCCTCTTCTTAACACTGTTTCAAATTTACTAATTTTGGAAACACCGAGGCACTGACCGTCCTCTCTTCTCCACCACACCCACGCTGCCCAAGATTTCTAGGCCCATTATGTACTGTTTTCACTAAAGACTCCTGGCTTGATGACTTCCCCTCACTGCAGTAGTCTCCTGATGCTGGTCTTCCAATTAGAACATGTTCAGAATGAAGTGTTCACGGACCAATGGTGAAATACAAAACAGAGATCAATTAGAGAGCTTTCCTTAGATCCAAATCCTTCATGTAAATGGCTGAGAATATGTTCTTCCTAATGTTTTGTTATTAATAAAAAGTTTCTTTCATGAAATGGCAACAGAAGAATCTGGCTCCTTCTTCTTGATGTCCACACTTGAAAAAATAAAAGCAGCCCTATGACAATTCTCCTGTCCTCAATTTCTGGAAGGGAATGGGCATAATATTTCAGTCCATGAAACCCAAAAGTCTGGAAAGAACTGTCTTCCGTGACTTCTCACAAGCCAATTCTTTAGTCTGGTAATTCTGCCCATTTTCTTAGCAATAATGTGGTCCTTTATTTTCTTTAAAATTCATTTCTTCTAAATAATTTTCTATATTCCATCCACCATATTAGACTCTGTTACACAACATCCCTAAGAGCCCATAAAAATGCTTCAACTTACATCAGTTTTCAGGTTTTGAACTTTTTTTAAATACTCTAACAACTTAACTAAATCCTTTTTTAAAAAAGAGTGATGCCAATTACTGATTCTAAAGTCCAATCTTTTTTTTAACTTTTATTTATTGACTGATTGATTTGAGAGAAAGATAAAAACATTGCTCTGTTGTTCCACTTACTTATGCATTCACTGGTTGTCTCTTGTATGCATCCTGATCAGGGAGAACCCACAGCCTTGGCATATCAGGACAACATTCTAACCAACTGAGCTGGCTGACCAGTGCCTCTAAAGTCCAATCTTAAAATTCAGTTATCTTACTAACGGGGAAAAATCTGCATGTTACCCACTTAGAGATGAAAAAATATGTTCGGTATTTACCATCATCTCACAGTTTATATATCAACCTCAATCACCCAAACTACTCTGTTAAAACTGTAAGCCTATGGGAGAAAAGTAACTCTCTCAGAAGTCTAAATAAACTGTAGTTCCAGTTTAGGTTTAAATCACTAAAGATTTTAAAAATATTTCCAACTTAGTTTATTTGGTAGTCCTTCTGCTTAAACTACTTAAACTGCTTAAACTAACCCCTGTTCAAGTCACAAGAATAAGATACAGAAGTGAAATGTAATTAGAAGCTTTTTAACAAAATAAGAAATGCCTCTATGATATTACTAAATATTACAACTAATTCAGTAATTCTCCTATTGTTGACCATTTAAATGGTTTCCAAATTGTGGTATACTCTAGGATTAACATTTTTATGGGTGAGTTTTGTAAGGTCTTTCTGATTACTTCCTAAGAGAGAATCTGATGAGTGGAATCTATCAAATACCTTTATTTCACTATTTTTTTTAATCTCAGTCCGATGTTACCCATTATGTTCAGAGGTGATTTCAAACTGCAGAAAGATGAACCCTCCCTCCCCGAAGTCAGCTTTGAGAACTACTTAAAACAATCTGCAACTGGATGAGCCTCTAGGCTTAAAAAGTACATGCCATACCCAGAGAAAGGGCAGAGGAAGGAGGAGACACCTAAGACAATGTCTTCATTCTCCATGTAACTGACCTTCAAAGAGAATCAGAGAACCTCATCTACGAAGATGAGCCCATAATTTGCAGAGCATAATCACCTTTTCAATATCTGTTCCTGTTTTAAGTTTCAAGATCAGGCAAAGAAAGTTACAGGATATTTGCTGGAAATGTTTCTACTTAGGTTTTTACTTCTTTATCTATTCATTAAAAAATACCTAACATTCTAGGAATTGACATAATATTTGCCTATAAGGAGCGACTGTTTTGTTTGTCCCCTATAAAATACTAGGAGAGATAGATGTTCATGGATTCTAATCATACATATACTCATAACCACAAAGGGAAGAAATAAAGTACTAAAAAATACTTTCTGAATATCATAATATTGCAAAATAAAGGTATTATACTCACTTTGGCCTGTCTAAATCAAAAACGTACTAATGAAACTTTGTATAGCTTCTATTCAAAATTTACTCCCAAAGAAACAAAACATTTTATGATTTATATCATTCCAAATGTTTAATTAAGTCATAATCATGATTTTATGGGTTATACTATCTAGTTGAAAGAAATTCTTCTCTTCATGAATAAAGTTAAAAGTACCTAAAACTCTCACTTACTTTGTGTTCACATATAAATTACTGGGTAAATTTTTCTTTATGTAACTGGAGCCAGGGTTACAGCTCAGAAATACATCTTAGCTACTACAAAAGTAGTTCAGATATGCACCAAGGAAGAATTTACTATGTGTGCTCTAAACTCTTTGCTTCTCCTCCATTTCTTATTAGCTGTCTCCTGGCCACTTCACTGATTACTTTCACGAGAGGCAATGTGGTAGGAAGGAGAAAGACCCCCAAAGATTCCACGTCCTAATCCCCAAAACCAGAATATATTATAAAAATTTGCAGGTGTGATTCAGTTAAGGATCTTGAGACAAAGAGATTCTTCTGGATTATCTGGGCAGGCCTACTGTGATCAGATGGGTCCTTAAAACTCAGGGAACTTTCCCTAACTGAGTTTAGAGAGAAAGGGAGAAGTGACGATGCAAGTACAGTCAGGGGATGCACCGCTGCTGGCTTCGAAGGCGGAGGAAGGCGGCCACAAGTCAAAGAATGGGAGCAGCCTCTAGAAGATGGAAATGGCCAGGACTCTCATTCTCCCCTGGAGTCTCCAAAAGGAATGCAGACCTCCTGACATCTTGATTTTAGTCCAGTGAGATTTGTGTCAAACTTCTGATGTAATACATTCGTGGTATTTTAAACCATTAAGTTGTTATAATGTGTTGTAGTACAATAGCAATAGAAAACTAATACACGTAGGCAGATTAAAAAAGTGTTGCCACAGCCAGGTAAGACAATTGGTTAGTGTGTCATCCCAATACGCCAAGGTTACAGGTTCAATTCCCAGCCAGGGCAAGTACAGGAATCAATCAATGGATGCAGAGTGCATAAATGCATGGAACAACAAATTAAAGTTTCTCTCTCTTTCTCTTCCTCTCAATTAAAAAAAAAATTTTTTTTTAAGTACTAAAACTCAATCTGTGGCTCTGATAAGTATTCCCTAAGAAAAGAAGATAAAGTTACTGAGTGTTACGAATTTATACTACACTATATCCTTTAGTTCTATATTACCTTACCTCTGCATGTCCCCTCTAACCCTCAGCAGCTCCCAAAAAGAGGAGGTAGAGTTGTAAATCTGATTGGCAGCATCCAGATTATTCAAGGAACCCCATCTTCTTTGAAGGGTCAGCACATCTCCTTCTTACCATAGATCTTGGCAGGGTATGCTTTTGAGCCAAGTTTCTCTCATAGTTTTCTAAGTCCCTCAATACCTGCAACTGAGTAGGTAAGCTTAGCTGAAGCCTGATGGCAAAGCAGGCCCTTTTCTCTTTTCCCACTGATATACCTAAGAATACTGGTCCTACAATTTAAATCAGAGTAAAAACAAATAGGCGGCCTATATTTACTAAGAGCCAGCAATGAGAAATACTGCATGGGGACTTATCCGTCTATTAATAAAAGAGAAGTTTGTGGCCCACTCAGTATTTTCTTGAAAATAGCTCCTGCAATCAGGGACTCTTAGTGGAGAAGTACTGAGCAGCAGAAAGGAAAAAAACAGGTATCCCCATGTCTCCAGCTATAATACTAACACTGTAAACACCCTCAAAACCTAATGCCTAACATCTAATCTACACTCCATGAATTCTGATATTCCTGCTACTCATTACTGCACATAACCACATCTAAAATCTAGCCATTTAATTTCTTACAGAAATAGAATATACTCCTACTCCTTAGTTAACAAACCTCATTTACTCTCAAAATATAAGACAAGCAAAAAAATAATAATAAGTGAAAAGATATTAATTTAATAGAAAAACCCTGGAGGGGAAAAAGCACCATATCATTAACCCCTCTAAGTTCTAAAAGTACCTTCTTTCTGATAATATACAGTGATGGAGAAGGAACAAAACCTGAGCTCCTACTCTGCTCAAGACTCCACATTTCTAGTTTGACTTGGAAGGCAGCACTACAGGAGTGCTAGTGCTCAGAAAACATGTGTGCGGGTTAGGGGGCACGCAGTACAGAGCTTAGAGGGGAGTAAGAGAGTAACAGAGGGCACCCTCTTTTTTGGCCAACATTAAATATACCACAAGGATTACTAGGGAAAGAATACATAATGGCTTATGATCTAACAGCATGGTTATAAAAAAAGATTTTTTAAACGGTGGAAGAATGGGAATATCACATAAAAATGTATATAACTAATTTCAGTAATCATAATTGATAGTGGCAGTATTAGTGTTGCTATTCCAAGATTTCTGGTTTATAATGTTAGATAAGACAAATGACTGATTTTGGATGTTCTGATTTATCAGCAGATTCATCAACAGATAAACAGTAAAGAAAACAAAGGGATGCAAGGATGTGTAACATTTAAAGAGACTTAAATGATATATCAAAAATATTTTTAGCCCTGGCCTGGTGGCTCAGATGGTTGGAGCTTCGTCCTGTGCACCAAAGCTTTGTGGGTTTGATCCCTGGTCAGGGCACATACCTAGATTGTGGGTTCGATCCCCAGTTAAGGTATATATAGAAGCAAACAATTGATGTTTTCTCTCTCTCTCACTCCTTCCCTCCCTTCCTTTCTCTATAAATATAATCAATAAGCATATCCTCGGGTGAGGATTTTTTAAAAATATTTTTACATGAACAGGATTGTAGTGTGTCTGCGGGTCACACTTAGGTGATAAAACAAAGAGACAAAAGGAAGTACAATAAAAATCAGGAGAGTAGTTACTGTCAAGAAAGGGAGAAAGTTGTGATTGAGCTGGGAAACGGGGGCTTTTGGGGTGACTGGCTATATCCTATTTTGACTTTAGTGGTGATTACAATAGTGTTCATCACGTACATAGAAGCTATATATTTTGGGGCACAATTTTCTATATACGTTTTATTACTTCACTGTAAAATTTACACCCAAAAAATTATAGTGAAAAATTTTTTTGGTTTTTTTTTTCCCAAAAAGATTGTTGGTTAGGAAAAACAAAAAGTCTGAAATACCTAAGAGAAGGGACAGTTTAGCCTTGGAAGTTGCCACTGACTGTTCATGCAGGCAAATGATATTCTATCGCTAAGTAAGGCATTCCTATTTCACTAACTCCACCAGTAATATATATACTTGAGGAAAAGCACACAAATAAAAACTGTAAGACTTGAACTCTGGTCTTGTAGGCTGGGCTACTGAGTTACTACTATAACTACTGAAGTACATATGAAACTATCCCAGCATGAAAAACAGTTCTAATAAAAATAAGATACGTAATTACTGCCCTGACTAGTGTGGCTCAGTGGGTTGGACATCGTCCCACAAAGCAAAAGGTTGCTGGTTCAATTCCAAGTCAGGGCACCTGCCTGGACTGCAGGTTCGGTCCCTGGTAAGGAAGCAACTGATCGATGTTTCTCTCTCACATCAGTGTTTCTTGCCTTCTCTTCTTCCCTCCCATCCCTTCTCTCTAAAAATAAATAAGTTCTTCTAAAAAGAGACAGAGATTCAATTACTATTCTCAAAGTACTAATCATTACAACTTACCTCTCTCAATTCTGCAATTCTCCGAAGTGCTTTATCCTGGCTCTGACTTAATATACCCTTTAATTAAAATAAAAAATAAAGTTGGGTCAAACAACTGCTTGACATAGTAATACTTAGCAAGTCAAAAATAATTATTTTTACAATATTACAACTGTTTATCCAAAAATAACATGAGGATGGAGAATAGGATAAGCCATACTGAAAATGCGTTAAAAGTTAAGTCATGATGTTACAGAACTGTTCTGTATCCCGGTTGTGGTACCGGTTACACAAATCACACGTAAACCAAACCAAAGTCAATTCTACTGTGTGTTAATTTTAAAAATAAAAAAAATTTTTAAGTTATGTCAAATTCCAAACGCAATTTATTTCATTGCACCCTGTGTGGAACAAGTCAATTACCAGCCTGTTTGAAAGGGTATTTTTGTGTGTTTGACTTAAAAACAAAAATCTTTTTCTATATTTAAAAAAAAAAATGTCCAGGAGAAAACTGCAAAGAGAACTGCAGATTGCTAAATTAGTAATCATACATAAAAATCAAGAAACTAAAAGAGTAATATTAAAAGATAAAATGATTCATCCTTTCCTGGGGTGGCAGGGGGGGTGGGGGGCAAGGAAACGTGCTTTTCACTAGTTATGAAATTGAAATCTGAAAAGTTACGGACTATGGAAGCAAAATAACTGTGTTTTCTTGTACAGTATAAATACAGAGAGGTAAAGAAATGGGTAATCTGGATCTTCCTTGGTCTGTGTAGACTAACAACACGAAACAGAGATAAAGGAAGGCAAATGGTTTGCTTGTGGCTCAAGGAAGTGTGACTGGGTTGTACTTGCCGCGGCCTTGTAAGTGAATAAAACAAAAACCAAAGGCTTTTTCCCCTAAAGCCATGAACACAGGCTTTATTTGGGGAAATACACAAATTTTAAATGCAGGAAGATGCACTGCTGAGAACGATGGAAAACTGCAGCGCATAATGTACAATCACACGCTCTGCAGTCTAACTGCCAGGAAGGGATCCCGGCTCTCCTCCCTACCTCTGACAAGCTGTGCAACAATGAGCAAGTCGCGTCTCTTCCTCATTTCCTCACAGGAGAGGTTTAAGGACTAAATACACCATAATGCCTGGCACGCAGTAAGAGCTGAAAAAATGTTACCTAGTATGAATAGCACTGATAATAGTGTTGGCAGTACTTATAATTTTAATTTCAATGGCTCTATTAAGAAGACATTTGTCTATTTAATAAAGAAGTTTCTAGGCATGCAGATATGGGCATATGTAGACATACAGAAGAGAGCAAAAAATCACTGAATTTTATCTCTAACACCCTTTATATTTGGGTCTATGCAACCGCAATTCTCTATCGCCACTTAGTGGTAGAAATGCATACACCTAGAAATAAAAATCCACAGGCAATTCATAGAAACACAAGCAACATACCCACAGAATTTAGGAATAAGATGACCTTCCGAGGATTAAAACAGAACCACTCCCCACTTCTATATAACTCATGTTTAACAAAATATATTTAAAAACTAAAAACTCTATTTGTAATAATCTAACTCACACATTACAGACAATTAGAACAATGAATCAACAATAAATAATGTTGCCATTCTGATTATATTCTATACCAAAGCCAGAAAATTTAATGTTGTACTTAATGGAGATTAATACTTATGGCACATTAAATATTTTTAAATAATGTACATGGGGAAATTAATTAATTTTACCAAAACTCATTTTACAAATAACTTTTAGTTATGTAACTAACTTTGGTTATTGTCTTTAAATGTCACAAAATGCCAGACTGTTTTAAATAACTTCTACTGTAAAAAATAACACTATATTTTATAAATAACACAGCACAATGATAGCACCATTAGAAGTGGACTGGATGTTTCCCCTTAGCTCTGACATGTGATAGCTGGTGGAAAATTTCTGCCCATGAACCGGATGACACAGTAAGGCCAGGGTGGGTCACCCAGAAGAGCTACAATAGCCTCCTCTCTCCTCATTTAACCAAGAACTTCCCAAATAGCAGCCTCAGGAAACAGAAGAGAGGATGCTTGAGTTTGGACCCTGACACAATGATAAGAAACAGAGATGTCTGCAAATATTTAAAAAACAGAAGAGAAAGCTTTGAAGACTGTATGTCTACCACTGAAACAAAAATGCAACCTGCAGACTGAGACCCTAGGAAACATGCTTAAAAGAGACAAACATGCCTTAAAGCCAAACCTCGTAGGCGATGCAGGGATCCAAAACTGAAGGAAGCCCATCCCTGCCAGGTAAAATCTCTGGAATCCCTCCCTCTCTCTCTCTCCTTATCAAATCACCAGTAATGGGAAAACAGGTGAAATACTTTATCATATGGAGAACTATCACAAGTGAGGATAGAATTATTTTTACCCTAAGAGCCTTTCTAATTTTAAAATTATGTAGATGAATCAATATCACAGCCAACAAGTCACTTACCTGTAACTTTTTCTTCTCTCTCTGAAGAGTCTGATAAGCTGTTATAAGCTAAAATGGAGAAAAAGTCATCAATAACATTAGTTATTCCTAAATAAATGCAATCACTTATTCTGAACTCCACTAAAACATCTTGTTAAGAAAGTTTAAAAAAAATAAATAAGAATCCTTTTATATAAGACAAATTCAACCTAATTAGATGCATATACGGCCAAGCTAAACAATACAGGGAATATATTTCTAAAAACTAAAAGGAAAACTCAACTCTACAAATAGATAGCAAATCTCCTTTTGGCTTCACCTTAGACATGTGCCTCTTTAAATTTCAGTACCTAATTCATGGGAGGGAATTAGAGCCAATTCGCCTAAAGGCAGAAGACAGCTCAAAAGGTAGTCACAGACCAGTACTATCAGCAACAGCACCTTCTGGGAGCCTGCTAGAAACAAATTCTTGGGCCTCACCCCAAACTAACTGAGACAGGACGACAGCTATAGTGGGAGCAGAGGGAGGTTAGGGGGTGGAAGGACTCAGGAAAAAGGACTCATGGATTTGGACAACAGTATGATGATTACTGGGGGGAGGGGAGTATAAGGGAACAAAATGGTAACGGGAAAAAAAATACAATAAAGATAAAAAACAAACAAACAACCCAATTAAGAAATAGGCAAAGGACCTGAATAGACTCTTCTCCAAAAATGAGATACAGATAAATGGTCAACAGACATAGGAAAAGGTGCTCAAAGTCACTAATCATCAGAGAGATACAAATTAAAACCACACCGAGATATCATCTTACACCTGTCAGAATGGCCATCAATAAATCAACAAACAAGTGCTGGTGAGGATGAGGAGAAAAGGGATCCCTAGTGCAGTGCTGGTGGGAATGCAGATTGGTGCAGCCACTGTGGAAAACAGTATGAAGTTACCTTGAAAAATTAAAAGTGGAACTGCCTTATAAAAATAATAAAATAAAATAAAATAAACCAATCACTGATTTTTTAAAATACGAGAGGGAGAATTAGGGGAGGAAGAGCAAGGAGATAAAGGAATGTGGGTTTTAACCAGCTCTCCAGGCGATGTTTTTGCTTGACCACGTAATTGAGCTCTACAAGTTCCTTCTGGTTGTAGGATCTGTGACTATGGCTGTGTAAAAACTCTTAGGAAAAGATTCATAACCAACAGATGAAAACTGGTAACTCAGGACCTAAAGAAATGTTTGACCACTTAACCTAAATAGGATATTTAAACATTCTAGTCCAACTGGATGAAATTATGAATTAACAAGTCCTTTAAACCTATACATTGCATAGTACTACTCAGCTGAAGGCTGGCACATGGCTCCAATTACTCAGACCTTCCTGTAGAAGTGCTCGTGGTCTCTGAAAGGACAGGCTGCAGCTTTAGGGGGAAGCACTCCCCTATTCTGAGCCTTGCCATTTTCCTTGGAAAGCTGCTCTGTGCTCCTAAATGCCTCTACTGATACCCGGTGAAGAAGCAGTTGGCAATGAAAGTTGCAGAGGTGTGTACGTACGTGTACGTGTGTGTACGTACATGTACACACACACACACACACACACACACACACACACACCCCACCCCCCCCAAACCCCCCACCCCCAAATTCTCACTAGGAGAAGGACGCTCTACTTCTTATTACCTTAACACCAGACAAGTGAGGAAAGGTAAAGAAAAAGTCTATGGGCTCTTTTCCCTAATAGGCTACATAACTCTACGTGAGGCAGCACAGACTAGCAGAAACAGCCAGGCAAACACAGAATCAAAGCAGACTCCGTCAACTGCTACCCATGTGACCTTAATTAAGCAAGTTACTTAATCTCTATGATTAAATCTCTAAGAGTTTCTAACCCCTCCTCTACAAAATAGAGCTAATATCTACTTCACAGAGATGATGCAAAATTAAATGGCACCATAAATATAAAATGCATAGTGTCTTACACACTTAAATACTAATTGAACTGTTGCCCCAGCTTCAAACATAAAAGCCATGAATAAGTTGGTGAAAATAAAATCAATCTAGACAAACAAAAATCAAGACTTTTATTTACTTTGATAAAAATTTTAAGATAAAAATTTTAAAGGAAGAAGTTGTCTGACTCTGCAAGTGCCTCATGAGATACATGGCTTTCATATTCTGTTTACATCTCTGGGATCCAGCCAGCCAATAGATTTTAGCCTAATAATTCCTTACTAGTTTGTCAGTATTTTATAGTTTTAAAAAGATACTTTATGTATTTCATCTAGGGTTTTGCTGTTCTTTTTGGTGCAGGGTTAAACTACCCATATTGTAGCCATAATTGGAAATAGAGGTTGTGGCTAACTTTATATATATATACATATACTTTATATATACTGTTAAGACAATAAACATTTAGGCATTGTAAAAAATAAACAAACAAACAAGAAAACCCAGGCAACTTGCTCTAGAAAGGTGTCCCTTAGGAGGGGTCATTTCAGCTGCACAGGATGGGGAGGACAGCTGCTCCAGCTCAGCCTGAAGGGAAAGGGCTGCGTTCCCCAAGGAAGAAGAGGCAGAGGCAACCGCACCCCTTCCCCTCTTCGACCAAACTGAGAGTGACATCCTCAAGGGGGTTCGAAGTTAGAAGATTCCTTTGAGGCAGTTTAAATGTAGGTACAATGAGAGTGAACCAATGTGTTGGAAAATCAGACTATGTAAAACAACAATGGGGGTCTGTAATAATGGAAATCTGGTTGGCATAAGGGGTCATGTTAGAGCCACAGAACTGAGAGGATAAACAAGGGAGAGGATGTGAGGAGGAAAGATGATAGCTCTGCATTGGGGGTCCAAGCAAAAGGGCATAGAATGTGAGAGCCAGAAGGCGACAGACAATAATCTCCAAAACTTTACCAAGAGCCTTGCCATAAAACCTCTGTGCCACTGCAAGTCTAACTAGATATTGCCACAGACTGCCCACCATTAGTAACCAGCATGTCTAAGCAATCAATAGTTTAGCCAACCACAGGGGTAAAAAGCCACACAGTAATAACTCGTATGAACTAGAAAACAAGGGGAAGAAATTTTCTTTCAAACAAAAAAGTTATGCTCCTACCTCAGAACACCTTCCTTTGTAGCTATTCAACCTTCGTTCCATTCTTCGCAACCACTGAATCAACTGTTCTTTGTTGAGGCTGTCTAAGTTCCCCAGGGAGTCTTCGGCCTCGCTCTCCATGTCAGAGGGTGGATCAAAGGTGGCAGGAGAAAAGTCGAGGTCAAGTCGATTCAGGGATTCTCTGGAAGATGTTCGTACCAAAGACTCCTTAGAAGAAGATCGGAACAGAGATTCCTTGATCGGACTTCGAAACAAAGACTCCATGGAAGGCACCCGGAGCTGGAGTTTCTGTGCAAACGTCTGTGTGTCCCCTGACTGCAATAGAAACCCGACAGAACATGTGCGTTAAAATACACATTTAGACTTCCATTATTCCCTATCACAAGCAATAATCTATTAAAAGCTCTAGCATATTCAATAGATATTCCTGACATTTAACATAATACATTGTTTTCTGAAAAAGAAGAGACACTTGGTTATTTCTGAAAAAGTGCTGGACCTGAAATCAGAGGACTGGGGTGTAGGTCCCAGGTCTGTCCCCGAGCAGTGGAATTACCTTCAATAAGTCACTTCCTTTCAGTTTGCACATCTCAAAAAAAAGAAGGAAGCCATACTTTCCCAGCTAACCTCGCAAGTCACTAAACTGTAAGATCCTTTGAGGCAGCATCACCAGTATATATATCCAGTCCCTAAAATGGGGTATCTACTGAGAAGTATGAAGTTGTGGCTGAAATCAAGTGGACTTTATGTGGAGTCTTTATGGAAGCACTGACTCCTGATCACTCTTCTCATCAAGAGGGAAATGGGGGCCAGGGGATGATAACGTACACAAAGCCCGTTACGTTCCTAGGAGAATGCCAGGCAGAACCGACTAGTGACAACCAACTCTGCTCTACTTACCACTCTGCCTACTGGGAACAGAGATCAGCATTAAAAAAATCATGAAGATCAGGTGAAAAGCCTGAGCTAGAGTCCCTCTGCACATATCAGTAGGTCTGATGTTAGAGAGAGTGATAAGAGCTAGTCTCTTAATTAATTCAAATAATAACATTAATTTGAATAAATGAAAAGCAATGTAACAATTCAAAAGAACTGTTCTGAGCGCCATTATTCTTTTTTTTTAATTTTTTATTTATTGACTTGAGAGAGGAAGGGAGGGAAAGGGAGAGGGATGGGAGAAGATGGAGGCAGGGAGAGAGAGACACACAAGTTAATTTGTTGTTCTGCTTATTTACGCATTCACTAGTTGTTTCCTCTATGTGCCCTGGCTGGAGATCTAGCCCACAAACTTGGCACATGGGGACGACGCTCTAACCAACTAATCTCTCCAGCCAGGGCTATCCAGCTGCAATAATATTCTGTTCATATGACAGCAGTCAGTATTTTTTCTAATTGCATTTTTTTAAATTTTTCAATTACAGTTGACAGTCAACATTATTTTATATTAATTTCATGTGAGCAGTCAATATTTAACACGTGTTTCCTAGAAACGCCTTCTCATTAGTGCAGCAAGGTCACCGACGAGACCTCAGTGATGCCAGCAATAAAATGCTCAGGGGAGACGGGGGTCATGTGTTGGCAAAGGTTACAGGAAAACAAAAATATTCTTTTTTAGTATACGATTTGAAAATCAAACCATAAGTAATTTACTCATGAATTTTAGAGTTTAATAACAGTATTGGGCAAGATGGGAGGAAGAGGGGATAACTTGCCCCACTCCCCTCATATGCACAGAGATTTATCTCAGGCTGTTTATAACGGGTAAAACTGGAAACAGCCCGAATGTTCACCACTAGAGGATGCATTCTAGAAACTACAATATATGGAAGGAGGTTCAAGACATACTATTAAATTGAAAAAAATAAGTTATTATGAACTCATTTTGATTTAAAGTAATTACACATTTTAATTTACACATATTTTTACACAAACACCCCTAAAACTAGGTCAGAGTGAGTGGTTCTGAATGGCTAAGATTTTTAGGTGACTTTTATTTTTATATTTTCCTGTATTTTCTAAGTTTTTTTCCCATGACATGTTAGTTTCACCTTTATGTTGGGGAAATGAAGATCGTCTTAAGGGAACGGAGGGATCCTCAACTTAAAAACTTTAAGGACCACTTCAGTAATGACCCATAACCAGCTACTTCTGACCCAAGCAAAAAGTGCTTTCCAAGTCATACAATCTTCTTGTAAATTGCCCTCGTACAAACAAGTGAAGCAAATCTGAATGAAACTAGCCATAGTTGTTATTTAAGGGTCAGAAGCTAATGAACAATATCAAAGATATTATCTTTGCAGAAGTTGACAAACTCAGCAACTGCCACATCTACTACATTTGTGAGTAATATGTTTGAGTGTAGCAATTCTCAGCCTGTGGGCTGTCTAGTAAGGCTGCCCAAAGGGAGAAGGGTACTTTATGACTATCTCCAAAACCTCTGATGAATGAAAAACTAAACTGTCATTGGCACCTATTGTCAGGTTTCTAGTACCAAAGATACTCACTGATAGATATATATATTTCACTTCAAAAAAAAAAACAAACCAAAAACTGACGGGGGTTAGAGAGGAAAATGTGTAAGTAAAACTAAATAGACACAGCCCTGACTGGCATGGCTCAGTTGGTTAGGCGTCGTGACTGGTATGGATCAGCTGGTTAGGCATCATGCCACAAAGCAAAAGGTTGCTGGTTCAATTCCCAGTCAGGGCATGTGTCTGGGTTGCAGGTTCAGTTCCCAGTTGGAGCACATACGAGAGGCAACTGATTGACGCTTCTCTCACACATCAATGTTTCTCTTTCTCCCTCTCTAAAAATAAAACCTTTTAAAAAAACTAAATGGACATATAAGAGTCACTTTTAACTCCTGTCTCCCCCCTTTTAACCTCTTTTCAATCCCTTCTTTTTATTTACCCATCACTGTTCTTATCCAGGCCTATCTCTAGCTGCCTTCTGATCTCGACTCAAATCTCTTGCCGACAAATCTGCCAGTCACACTGTCAGCAGTCTGTGGTGTCGAGAAGGGAGAGGGGAGATAGGTGAAAAAGGAGAAGGGGAATATAGTCAATAATGTACAAAACCGTTTAAGTGAACTGAACTCTTCTCAAGACTGAGACAGGTTTAATGAGACATAGAACAATTTACCACCGTAACTTCTGGGATGTGAAATTTTCACGCAGTTTCAGGGGAGGAAGAATGAGTCATTCCAAAATGTGCCTCTGTGGTAGGCAGACTGTTCAACTTTAACAGCAGGCTCAAGAGAAACTTCTGCCCCTACCTTAACTACCTTACAAGAACTTAAATTAGAGGTCCTGCCCATAACAAGAGACTTTCAGAGATAACTTATTTTGACCTACCCTTAGGGCAGGACAAACTTCTATTTACTAAGCATCTTCTCTTCTTATCCTGCAATGACCCTTCGAAGGCTACAAGGACCCTTATCTCATTTCTAGCTCAGGATGTCTAACATACCCATGTTCCCTTTCTCTCTCAAAATCTCTCCTGCGTGTGGGGTCTCACACTCCCTCACCTATGTGGGTTCCATACACTTGTACATATTAAATTTCATCATTTTCTCTTAGTAAAAAATAAACAATATTGTGACAAATTTGCATAGTGACAGATGATTATCAGGCTTAGCGTGGTGATCACATTGTAAGGTATACAAATGTGGAATCACCGTATTATACACCTGAAACTAATATAATATTGTATACCAACTATACATACATAAATAAAAGTATCCTATCTCTTAAAAACAAACAAAAAAAGTTAAAAGTATGGCGGGATGGACAAAAGCATGTACAGATGGACAGGTTTGTGATAAAACAGTACAGTGAAGTATTAATGATAAAATCTAGGCAGTGGGTATGCAGTATTCACTTTAAAGTTCTTTAAACTTTTCTGCATGTTTGAAAATGTTCGTAATAAATTGTTGAAAATAAAAAAGTATTCAAAAAATAACAACAAAAATTCAAAACTCAACTTTAATACTATAATTTATCTTATATTTTAAAATTCACACATGGTTTTCAAAAGAATTTTCCCCAGAATTTAAAAAAAAGCATATGAGAACAGCCATATAAATCCCTGTGTTTTGCTTTACTGAATTTAATAAATTCAGTCCTCATTTTGTTTTTGTTTTAATAGCATATAAATTCAAAAGAAGCAATCAATACATGGCAAAAAATTTTATCTAGATAGTGATGTTTTGTGTCTGTCTATAATAATTCCACAGTACTATGAGTAACTAGCCACTGGTCCTTGGGCAAATAATTTAAGATTTCATGCTTCATATCTCAACTATACAATAAGAGAGTAATTCTAGATCTTAGTCTCTTTCTAAACTGCTAAAACACTAACATTATGATTCAGTAAAACCATTTCACAGCTTCTCAGATAGATGTTCAAATATCTACTGTTTTGAAAAATGTGTTTTTCTCTATTGTGTGGTGACACATACTAATTAGTCTTCAAATATCTGAGTTTTGTAAGTCTGTTTCAAGTTAAAGGTCAGCTCTCTGCATTCTTCTGGAGATGAACGAAGATCATTTTCATTAGCTGAATATTATGAACTGTATTAAGCAATTTAAAAGTTAATTAATAGAAATTGTTCTGAAATACACACTTTTTTGCCTTCTTAAATAAGGACAATGAATAATCCTTTATAATGATGTCCTTGCCATAATCATTATATTGTGTGCCAAAACTACTCATTTATACAGGATGTTCCACCCAGTAGTAAGGGGCCACAAGCAGCTATGCCTTATGAACTCCTGGGTTTGCATTTACCATCACTTCTAGCTTGGTGTCAACTCTCATTTCCTGCTGCTGTCAAGATGTCCAGCCATAGTAAGCATCCTACCTCTTCAGGGACATACACTGCTCCTAATTTGCTACCAACCAACCCCCAACTTGTCAGAAACCTGTTTAAAAGTAAACATTAGAAGTGAAACCACCTCTTTACTATGGGAATTAAAGGAGATCATACACATACAAAGGTTAATAATGCCTGCCTGACACAGAGTAAATGTTCGGGAAATATTAGCTTATTTTTTAATGAAAATGTTTGTTTTTTCTTTTTGAAGAAAGTTTAAAGCCTTTAGTGAGCTTACTTCCTAAATATCACCCATGTTCATTATTTCACCTAATTAAAACTTAAGTGTCTCCCAAATTTGTTATAAAGCTGGTTATCATTCATTATAGTTTTGCATTCATAACTGTATTTAGTCTTTTCAGACTATTCTATAAAAGAAGGAAAAGGGCATGCTGAATAATAATATTCTTTAATAATATTCCTTATAGCTCACTGGACCTGTCCAGTACCATTTAGGCTGGTGCTTCTCAATATTACCCTTATCCCATGGCACTTACTGAAAATGATGTATTTGTAAAAGACTTGGGATTAAGGCCAGAGTTAGACCCAGGGACACGGACTATGGCCATAGCCTCATCATCATCCCTGAAAGAAATGAGGATTTCGGCTCACAGGTGACCTTTCCATGAAGTTTGGGAAGCTGCAATTTATACATTTGCTAGACAATACTTTAGGGTGTTTAGTCTACATAATTCAGTCCATAAATCATTTAGCTCATGAATTGTATACGTTCATGCTCCAGATTCACAGAATTAGAAATGTTATTTCCCTACATTTAGAGACTGGTGAGAAAAGACAGGTTGATGATAACAAACATCACCAAAGCCAAATGTTCCTTTCAGATACTGCTATCATTATATTTAAAAAAAAAATTTCTCTTTTTTGGAAGGAGTCAAAACAACGTCAATTAGCCCCAGTCTTCAAATAACTTGAATATCAAAGATAATCTAAATTCTCTAGTAGAAAAATATTCTGCATTAGCACATTTAAGAACAAACTTTTAAAGAGATCCCATTTCCTTAATATCCCCCTTTAAAATTATGTAATTTAACATGTCTTTCAATATACCTCCTCTATTTTCTTTTATGACTATAAAGTTAGATTCCTTTTTTCAAAAGGTTTTCTCTTTACCATCATTAATTTTTTAAGTGAGTAATAATGGAATCTTACATGACTGGTGTATATACAAAAACCACTTTCATTTAAAACTTTTTCCAAGAAACCATCGACAAAGCTGGATTTACCATACATATACTACATCAAATGTTTGGACATCACTGTTCCAATGTAAGTCAAATACTAGTACTATAGGTCAACCAACACTCTGAGATGACTTGCTATTTTTTAAAGTAAAATAAATAACAGACCTGAGGAGTCACTGGTTCACTTCCATTAACACTGTCGGGAAATTTTGTGGCTTGTATAGATGCATTCTAAGAAAAAGAAAGAAACATTGGAACATCATTAAAAAAAAAGGAAGAAAAAACCAAAGTTTTAAAACTATCAAGAACAAAGGCCCTGTACCAAGACTTATTAGATACATTTATCAAACAAAATTAGTAATTGTTCATTTATTAGAATGTTTTCATGCAAGCCAAAACTAGTATGGTAAGTATTTTAGAAAATTCATTTTGCTGTAACATATGTAACTAAATAGCAAAGATTAGTATGTAGCAAAATTTATTTCAAGCTATCACATGTTTTTCCTCATCATTATGTCCCCAGTTTTTCCCCCACAACAAAATTAACATAAAGGTTTCAATTAATAAAACTCATTAAAATAGAAAACTATCCAGAAAAAGAGGTAATAGCAATAGTTGCCTGAAATAAAAGAATATTCAAATTTAAGTTACTTGGGCTGAGCTCTGAAAAATATCTTGGTAACAACAAATAGAAAGGCCTCATCCACTTGAGGCAGCAGTATAAATGACATTATTAGGACAACTTTCAGAAAAACCTATAAGTAAAAATAATCTTATTCTACATGTGAAAGTTTTATATTTTGTACTATTGGTAGGACAAATGGTCCAAGTGAAGCAACATTCTACTGATTGCATCATACTGGCATAGGTTCCATAATGAATGAGATTCTTTGAGATTAAAAATTCTATATTAAATTCATAATACACTAAGGGTCTAACTGAAATTAGAGCTTTAGAAGTAGCTCATGATAAAATAACTTCCATATTTTAAACAAGAGCATTTGACCAAATACTAGCCACTATGTTTCAGTAACTTGGTCTTTAATAGTACCTTTTCCCTACAACTCGATAGCTGACCAAGAAAAAGTCAGCCCTGCCCATGTGACTCAGTTGACTGGAGCATCATCCCATACAACAAAAAGGTTGTGGGCTTGATTTCGGGTCAGGGCACATACCCAGGTTATGGGTTCGATCCTCGGCCAGGGCACAAACAGGGGGCAACCAATTGACGTTTCTATCTCACATCGATGTTTCTCTCTCAAATCAATAAAGATATCCTTGGCCCTAGCTGTTGTGGCTCAGTGGATTGAGCACAGGCCTGCAAAGCAAAGGGTCGCCAGTTTGATTCCCAGTGCAGGGCCCATGCCTGGGTTGCAGGTCAGGTCCCCAGCAGTGGGCGTGCAAGATACAATCATACATTGATGTTTCCCTCTCTTTTCTCCCTCCCTTCTCCTCTCTATAAATTAATTAATTAATTAATTAATTAATTAATTAATTAAAAGCGCTATCCTAGGATTTTTTATTTAAGGAGGTCAAATCTCTGACCTTATTTACTCTAAAACATAAGTGCAAAAGGCCTTCAGCTTTGCAAAAGTGTCCTCAAATTCTTAAGCTCTCATTAGGTATTTGATACTAAGAAATTATTAATCTTTAGGTTAAATATATTGTGGTTATATTTTTTCAGTCTTTACCTTTTCAGAATATGTACCAAAATATATACCAAAATATTAAATATCTGAAATTTGCTTCAAATAATCCACCAGAGACGGGGTGGGGCAAAGCAGCATGTACAGGGAGGGCGGCGGCAGCGTGGCCAGGGAAGTCGGCGGGAGGTCCTAGTAAGGTGGCCGTGAGTTGTAATTGCTGACACTGGTAATGGGTACGAGAGGAGGAGGAAGAATCTTATACCACTGTCACTACTATTTCCACTTTTGTGATGTTTGAGTTTTCTCTGAATAAAAATTTAAATACCTCCTCCCTCTAATACAAAAGGAGTTATCAAATTTTATGAGTCCAAGGCATTTCTTTGAAGTTACGTAGGGGAGAAAGGTTGGGAGAACATAGGAACTAACTTTTATCTTCCTGCTCTTGGCCATTTCAAAGAATTAAAAGTTGTATACATGGTATACATTTGTGTAACATCATAAGTAATGTTTTCTAGCCCTAAAAATATAGTACATACTATAAAATTAAAAACATATTTTATAGGGATCAACAAGTCTCTCAGCCAGTCAGTATACTGAAAAATGAGTTAAATTATGGAGAAGAAAATGAAAGAATTCCATGAAATATTTAGGTTAGGAAGAACAGTGGCGAGAGTCCATATTCAATTTTTAAATAAATTACTTGACATATGATTGTAGTTCATACAAAAAAAGCTATTCTATGATTGCTTGAAATATCACTATATCAAACACAGCATAACAAAAATTTCCCTCCCTGTGTAATATTTCAATTTATATATTATATCATATATCTAAATAAATGCAGGACAGCTAAGGGAAGTATTGGCCTATAAACTTAAATTAGGGATCTTTAACCTTAAATCATGGATGTTTAGAAGCAAATTAGAGATTCTGTCACTATCTGTAATGCCTTCTCTATTTCTGCCCAGCAAACTCTTGTTCATCTTTCAACTTCCAAATGCCCCTTCTTTTATGAAGTTCCATGTGACTTGCCCCAAAGGACTAATACACTCCCTACACTCCCTATGCCTGTATTTTCTTCCATGACGCTTTAATTTATTTCCTTCCACTGGAAGTGTAGGTTGATACTTTTGTCTCCATACTAACATAAAGTCTTGGAGAGCAGGAGCCTTGCATTTTCATCTCAGTCCTCAGGCCCTACCATTTTGGTGACTGGTAGCCGAGGCTCAGTAAATGCTTGTTAAATCCTTACTTCCTTCAGTGTAGGAAGACTTCTGAAGGACTTCTCCCAGATAGAAGCCTAAAGAACTAGTTCAATGCAAGTCAATACCCAAAGTCACCAATACTTTCTCCTGGAGGCAATTCTTAGATAACAGGAAAACTCTCCTAAGGTGCATTGAATTTAAAAGCACACACAGGTTCGTTCTCTGCCAGATTTGTCTTCAATTATGTTCTGTTCAGTCTTTTAACAACTACTGATTGTTAAGCACTAAGGATACAGCAATTTTTAGAATTGGAGATAAAGATATGTATGTTTAAAAAAAAAACTAAATTAAGGAAAAGTCAGCAGCCTGTAAACTCCTAATGTAATGAATTAAGCCCTCACTAAATGTTTATTCTACTACAGGTTATGCTATGGTTGTTACATGAGGAAAAGTTTCTATCTGAACAAAACTCAATTTAAATGATATTACAAAGATTTTAGTCTACATAAATTACTTCTAAAGCCTCCATTTAAAAATTATTAGCATTTTTTCACATAGGTTAGGAATCAATACAAATTAGTACTTAAGGAAGTGGGCATAGAATAAGTTGTTTTTCTTCTTTTTTTATTCTCATTCTAAATCTCTATTACTACTACATGACTATAAAGCAGTATCATTTTGTTTTTAAAGAAGTTGGTAAGTTATCTTTAACTGGGATTCCCACGTCCCTCTCAAACCAGTTTTGAAAACAGCGAGGTGTTACTTGCAGCCAGAACTACGAGAAACCTCTTTCCCGGAGATTCAGGCTAAGGAAGGCATCTCCAGAACTCTTTTCTAAAACCAAGGCTAGAATATAGCTTAGGACTGCTAGTGGCTGTATACAGGCCCAGTCTTTACTGGCTGCATGGATTAAGTACAGAACTGTTTTTCATCACCAGCTACTTAGTAAGTTAAAGCAATTCTCACTGTTTAAAAAAACCTCAATCCCAGTTCAGTGTCTAATTTAACACCAAAAGCTATGCTTATTGAGCAAATATCTCTAAATTTTAATTTGCTAAATTAAGAACTTAGATATATTAGGGGAAATGTCCACTTTCCCGAAGTGAAATGATATACAAGATTCAAAATCGTATGAATTCAGTCAGCTAAAAAATGAGATAATTATTTCCTTTCAGATATTTAATACCCAGAAAACTGGCATTCCCCCAAAATAAGTTGTAATTATTTGTTACAGTAAAATCAACCTACTTACTCAATGGCATTTAATTGTAGATTTATACAAAATGCATTTTTTTCCCCTAAAAATGTGAGTCACATCTCAAAAAAAAATATCTTGGCCTCCTACCAAACAGAGATTTCTAACAATGCATACCTTTCTTAGTCAATGAGAAAACATTTCCTAGGAAGAAAACTTAGGAGTTTAGGCCAAGTGAAGGTAGTCTCCACTACATTAATAAAAATGGTGTTATTTTGTTGCTGTTAAAAAGCTACCAGAAAACACACCAGCCATGAGAATTCAGCAATTCACTCTCCGATTTTTTAGAGCAGGGTTAGCAACAGGGTGCTGAAGGTACTTTGCAAGATGGTAAGTGACAAGCAACGTAAGATTTGCTTCTAGAATTGCCAAATTACTTTGCCTCCCCAAAAGGGAATGCAGAAAGCCGTGGAAGGACTCACCACACTGTCAGTCTGTGTTTTAGGCTGTTTGGAGGAATCCAAAGCAAAGATAGTATACTCAGAGAGAAAAGCAGGCTCTGCTATCATCCCGGCTAGTAGCTGTCTCATTCAGTGTAATGAGCCGAGGTATAAAAATAAAACAAATGATGAAAAACAAATCATAAGGGCACGTTGCAAAGTGTTCTCACCACCCAGCACGCACATCACTGTGATGGCCTTGCACCACCACCGCCACCGCCGCCGGCACCGTCACCCCACCCCCCAAAATAATAAGTTGCTGTGAAAGGTTAGGAATGGAGATGAGTTGCATTGTTTAGAATCTCAAAGCCCAACTTTAAACAGCTTGCTTATTGGCGTATAAATAATATATGCAATGGGCACCACAGTGCAAAGCATGTCTAACAATTTGACCACACCAATAAGAACAATGCATGGTAAAGAACACAAAGCATAACATGAATACTGAGCCATCCATTTTTATACATTCAAAAAGACAGAATGAAAATTAATGGGAGAATAAGACACATAAAACGTTAAATAATCATTTATTTTTCCTTACACAAAAATAATGTTCTCCAATATGTACAGAAGAAACTTTTGAAACTTAAATTTATAAGTTTTAAGTATACATTCTATTGTATCTACCCAAGGAGTACCACTCAACATAAAAACCGACTTAAAAAACGTTTGTCCTACCTATCAGGTAGTCTCTAATATAGGACCAGTTTGGGTTTCCCAGCCTATGCCAATGCTAAGCCAGTGTGAGGTTCAGTTCAGTTCTCAATCATGAGGCTTCCCGGGGGACAGGAGCTTCATGTGAGGGCCGCAGACAGCTCTAAGCAGCAGTCCACAAAAGCTTTTTTTCAACCTCCTTTCAACAGTGCTGGGAGCCCCACTTCAGCCCCTGGCTTGTAGCCCTAAATCTAACTCTGGCAGCACAGACCCACCCCACCCTGCTTAACCAGAGTTCAAAAAGAAAATAAAGTCCTAACGTCTGCCCTAAGGCATCCGCTAGCATCCACTGTTACATAATGAATTATGTGTCTCCTATGATTAATGTATCTCCTATTAGGGTTGGTTTACATTGCACTTTGTGGTCAAAAATACCTTTTAAAGTTGTCAGAAAATGCTTCAAAAGCAAGGAGATAAAGTGATGATACTGCTTTGTCTTTCCTTCAGACACCATTTCTTAAGCTAGACCTATAAGAACAGAATCTTTAGTATTAAAATTTGGAAATTTGGAAAGAAATTTTTAAAAACTTAGAAAAAAACCAAAAAAGTAACCATTAGCTTGCTTGGGCTATTGTTAATGCTCAAATCATCCCTTTCAGAAAAAATTATTTTGTAAAGATATATTCATTAAACTGTTTTAAAACACCATAGATAAATCCTTTGTAAAAAGTAGTAGTAGTGATCAAGTTATTTTCAGGGTTTCAGCTGTACTGTCAAATATACTATCAAAAAAAAATCAACCTATAATATACTAAGAAAGAAACCATTAACACTAACAGTAAAAACAGTACTAATACTGCAGCTTTCATTCAAATTGGTTACATGTATAAACTAAGTTCCATAACATTAAACTTAAAATCATTAAGTTAAAGAAATGCAACATTGCAAATGCACAAAAGAATGAAATCAAAGAAAGTGCACACACACTTTATACTTTTATACAATTTTGTCAGATCGTTTAAATATATGCACCAAGGACATAGTATATATGCCATTAACTTTTAATGCAGAAACTATACTATGAAGTGCTTAAGTTTTATTTTGTTATCAACATCTACTAAATAAAGGTTTAAAAATGTTTTGTTTTAACGTAATCTTCATCAAGACAATTTGGAAGTATCTTTCAAATTTTTAAAATTTGCCTATGTCCTATGACCTAGCAATCCCTTTCCTAGAAATCTATCCTACAGAATAATAGCATTATAAACATTTGTGTAAAATGCTCAGTGGAGTACTACTTATAATACTGAAAAGACTGTAAGGTTTAATTTACGATAGTAAAACTTTCTCCAAACTAATCTATAGAGTCAATGCAATCACAATAAAAATCTCCAATAGGTTTGTTTCATTGTCATTGTTGTGTTTTTTTAAATTGTGAGACTTGAACATCTGATTCTAAAATTTACCCTATTTTGCCATATATAATGTGCTCCTGTGTACAATGCACACCCACATTTTTGACCCAAACTTTAAAAAAAAAATCTTTTGTTTTAATTTTTCAATTCAACTTTTTGTTTATTTAGAAACAAAACCAATCATCATATTACAGGGCATTATTTTGCATACAAATATCATTATTGCTTTCTAGAGTTACACTTTTAATGCATAAGCATAAAAAAGGAATTAAAAACATTTATATAGATATGGAATTAGTACTACCTATATATAATGCCCATCTTTATTCTCCCCTCAAAAATCTGGGCAAAAAAGCACAGTATACACAGCAAAAATGTATGTTACATGGAATTTCTATGGAAAGGAATAGGAATAACCGAGACATTCAAGAACAAAGTGGGAATTATGGAGTGAATCCCCTCCACCAAAAATTGATTTAGACCATAACCCTCAATGTGATGGCATTTGGAAGCAGAGCCTTTGGGGGGTAGTTAGATGGGCTCATAAGGATGAGGTCCTCACGATGGAATTTTTGCCCCTTATAAAAAAGAGACATGAGAGCTGCCCCCTACCTAATTCTCCCCACCTGCATCTCTTCCCCAGGTATATGCACCAAGGAAAGGCCATGCTAGGGTATAATAATAAGATAGCTGTCTGCAAATCAGCTATCTGGAGGAAGGACCTCACAAGACACAGCATCTGCTGGCACCTTGATCTTAGACTTCCCAGCCTCCAGAACTGTGGGAACTGTTTGTTGTATAAGCCAGCCAGTCGATGAATTTTTTTTTCAGCAGCCCAAACTAAGACAGGGAAGACCTGCTCTACTGAAGGCAAAATGTAATATACAATTATTTATTAAGACAGTGTGGTATCAGATCAAAGACAACAGAACTGAATACAGAGCTCAGAAACAAATCTGCTCAAATACAGACACTTAATTTCTGAAAAATGGTAGCACAGTAGAGTAGTGTAAAAAGAATGAGACCACTAGATAACCATGGGGGTGGGGGGGTGAAACTTGATCCCTTCCTCATACCATATTGAAAAAAATCATTTCCAAATGAGTATAGATCCAAATGTGAGGAGTAAAACAGGGTAATACAGGAAAATCTGAGGGCCAGAAAAAATGTCTTTACTGCAAATATACTAGACACAAAATAAAATACTGACAAATTGGAGTACATTAAAACTAAGAAATTCTGTTCATCTCAGAATACCATTAAGAGCTTAGTAAAAAGCAAGCTACAGAGTGGATGAAGATATCTGCAAGGCATATATATCTGTAAGGCATATATATCCAATTTAAAAAGAAAAACAAACTATCCACACTATATAAAAAAGGACTGCTACAGAGCAATTAAAAAAAAAAAAAAGACAAACCAAGAGAAAATAAGCAAGAGACTTGAGCACTTCACAAAAGAAGATATCAAATGGCCAATACACAGAAAAAAATGCTCAATCTTATTAGATATAAGAGAAATGCAAATTAAAACTGTAAGAGAACACTACACACCCACCAAAATGGTTGAAATTAAAAAGACTAACAAGGATGTACAGCAACAATTACTCAAACTGGTGGAAAGGTAAAGTTTTACAACTTTCCTGAAAAATAATGGTCATTATCTTCTGAAGTGTCAAAATTCTGAATACCCTATGACCCAGTACTTCTACTCTTAAGCACATAGCAAAAGAAATGCAGGAACATGTGTATCAATAGAAATGTGCAATAACATTCACAGCAGCATAATTTATAATAGACAAAAACTGGAGACAGAGCAAATGTTTCACTGCAATGTTTACAATAGAAAGCACACTTAGGTGGTACTAAAAGAGAAGGAAGGAAGCAAACACAGAAAGTCAGGAGGATGGTCATCTTTTTGGGAGAAAAGGGGAGGCAGCTAAATAGTGCTGACACTGTGCCTTTTCTAGATCTGGGTGGTGCTTATATGCGGATTCACTTTTTAATAATTCACTGATTTATACATTTATGTTTTACCTTCTTTTCTGTTACCTGTGTCAAATGTCACAAAAAGATAAAAAGTTGAAAAAAATATAATCTGAGCTATGGTGCCAGCCACAAGTCAGATGGCATTAGTAAAGCTACTTCACAGTTTCTAAACACTAGCTTGAAACTCTAGAACAAATTGTTATCAAATCATTCTGAAAACTTCAAATATTAAATGCAGAGTATATCATCCTCTCAAATAAAGATTCTCAAAGAACACTTTACAAAACATACTTTACGAAAACATAACTACTATTAGCAAAAAAAAAAAAAAAAAGTTACTAACAAAAACAAAACCTAAGAATTAAATAATTGACCTGTCAAAATAATTTCCCTTTTTGTTATCAACAGCAGCATTATATTTTGGATTAATAAACTTCTTGTAAGAGGTTTATTAAAGAAGAAATTCCAAGCTTACCTCTCTGTTGGGTGTACCTTCATCAAGTTGCTCTGTAAATGAAGATGTCCTGCTCCTCGTTCCTGTTGGCGTTGAAGAATTGGAGGAAGCCTAAATTTAAAAATTATTGTACAAGTTAGAAAGACTGTAGTGACTAATACACTATGCACTTGCTAGGTAGTCATTCTCTCAATCCATGACCAAAGAACCCAGCAAAAGGAAAAGAGCAAGTATATGAAAAACTGAAAAGGATCTAAAACATAAGCAATTAGGAGACCCAGGCCATCTCCTGGGTCCCTGGTCTTACTCTGCTACCAACTAGGACTATGATCTTAGCTAAACCAACTTTTTGAGGGTTATGTGTCATCATCTATACAAGGTTGTGACGGTAAAGTAAGATGACAGTAATAGGGAAAACTAAAACCAGGTAAGGAATATATGAACACTCTGTGTAACTTTTCTGTAAATCAAAATTACTCCAAAATAAAAAGTTCATTTAAGAAAAATAAGGTTGTTAATTCAATCTTTAAAGTGCTTCCCAGCTCTAGTAGTCAATACTGTGAAATGCACAGATAAGCATCGCTCTAGTAAACGGCAGGCCTTGCTTTGAGTCTACCTTACACACCACAGCTAGATACAGAGAAGCATTTAGTTCTATGAAGGACAGACAGCCTGACTCCTAAAATCCTCAGCCACAAAAACCCTCAGGAGAAAGGGTCCAAAATTTAAACTATGACTCTGAGGCCTACTTGAGGTGAGCTACAGACCGTCCTAAAAGTATAGAGCCAAAATTTCAGGACTCTTCCCTGATATTAATACAAAATACTATTGAATGTAAACTTCAATTGAAAAATGAAGTTTTAAAAATAATTTTTTTTAAAAAAAGATGTCCAACAAATGGTGTTGGGACAAATGGCTATCCATATGAGGAGACAGAAACACCAATCAGACCATCACTTTGTACTTAAGCTATATTAAAGATTGAAATGATTTTTAAAAATCAAAATATAAAAGAAAATATAGAGTCTATTTCTATATCTCTGAATAGGACGAAGATTTTTATGGCAAAAGCAGAAATCAAAAGAAACAGCAATCAAAAGGAGGAGGGGGAAAACATCAACAAAACATGATGAAAATTTAATATCCTTTTTTTTCTAAACAGCTCATATAAGCTTGTAAGTTACACATCAGAAAACTTACTGACCCTCTTTGTACCTAGAGCACGTGGCCAATGAACACACCCACGTGAGACTGAGTCATAGTGAGTGATGTGAGGAAATAAGCAGACAAAATTAAAGCTCATCAGCTGAAGAGCACGGAGACGGCTTCAGGCAACCATGACAGGAGCTGTGCGCTGGGAACCCAGCGCTGGTGCCCAGCAGAGGCAGGTGCATCGTTCTTGCTAGTGCGGTCCCCCCACTGCGGCTGGGCAGAGCAATCAGCCCGGACTTTCAGGCCGTCCTGGAAATTCTGTAAGCTACCAAATATTATTTAATAAAGTTCTTTTCTGCTTAACTAGCTGGACTGAGTTCTGTTGCTTACAACTAAGAACTCCAACACACATACCATCTACAAGATGAACCAGAAAAATCAACAATAGATGAAATTCGCTACATGCAGAAGTTACCTTAAAAAATAAGATACCTTTTCCCAGAATAAAGAGACAATAGGTCTTAAAATTTTAAACAAGAAGATGATTGAATGTGAAATAAAACTAAAGCCTTATCAATGTCTTAAATGTCTAGAAAAGGTATGACTAGAGGTCAATGTTGTGCTTGGAAAATGGGAATGGAAAGCATACTCACTGGACCACATTTATCCAGGACTGAGACTACACTGAAAACTTTCAGACCACTTCAGAAATAGTTTTCTCTGAGGTTGAAAGAAAGTAAGGGGGAGGGAAAAATTAAAAGAAATAAATTAATAAAAAAAAAAAAAAAAAAGAAAGTCAATAAACCCCTCCTACACCCAGAGCCATAAATTTCAAACCATGCCAGCTCCAAAGGCTGCAGATGCTTCAAAGGCTGTCACTATGAGAAGGAGGAGCTCCAATTCCAACTACTTTTAAATGGTTATATGTAATATGTCCTTTAATAAAAAGGCCACTGGGCAGGGGGCGGGGGAGGAGACAAAAAGACAGGAAAGTAATTGGAAAGTGCTACTAGGCTAGAGGGAATAGCTCTTGACCAACCATCTCTGCTGTGGTTCCATCATCTCCAGGTCATCTTTGGGTTACTAATTCAGCTTTCCAATTGCCCTGGGGCCAGAAACAGCTACTCTAGATGGTGACCTTCCAATTGCTTGAAAAATACAGCCCTGCTGTGAATTTTAAAAATTGGCACTATGTCTTTTTACCTTAGCCTCACGTGAGCCTAATCAGTAATTGAGAGCCTTGTCAGCTCTGGATAAACCGGCAAAATCAAATGTTGGGGTTTATAAATTTGAAGACTAGGTTCTAAAACACACTGTCCCCAGAAAGCAGTGCCACCTAGCAAGGTTTGGCCTGATAATTCTAAGTCTTCCTCTCAAGTTACAAGAGTGCAGAACATATGAGGGAATGGATGTGACTACAAAGTATAAAACATGCATAAAAAACTAACTGTAGTTGAGCATTTATCCCAAGGTCCTGGATCTTTAATGGTCTAGCCTCACTTCAAAATATAAAAGGATTTAGATTCCTTCAAAATAAACTTGGTCTAATTAATTCTCACAGCCACGATAAATCTGAAGACAGATTCCTAAGCTATTGTCAAGAATCTTGATGGTTATATCCAAGCTCACAATTAATATTTTTATTGCCAACTGACTGTTATTATTAGTATGAGACCAAAGGCCCCAACTTTAGTATATACAAGAAAAACTATTTCAGCCACTGCAGTATGCAGAATTCTAAGATGACCCCAAATGACCCTTGCTTGTGAATGTGATGAGATATCACTCCCCTGATTACTTAACCTTACATAGCAAAAGGGATTTTGCAGATATATTTAAGGGGACTAATCAGCTGACTGTGAATTAATCAGAAGGAGGTTATCTAAATGGATCCAACGTGAACACAGGAGCCGTTCTAAAACAAGCCCAAGTGCAGAGGCAGGCAGTAGGCAGAGAGCTGCACTCCCACTGTCCTGAAGAAAGCAAAGTGGCTGTGGGAGGCCCAGGGACAAGGACCTCAGGCAGCAATTAGGAGATGAAAGTGGAACCACAAAGGACAAAATTCTACCACAACCATGTGAGCATGGAAGAGGACCCTAAACCCCAGATGAGTACAGTTTGGAAGACACCTTGATCTTAGCCTTTTGAGATGCTGAGCAGAGAACCCAGCCACACCAGGCCAGACTCCTGACACATAGACTGTGAAATAGTAACTGAGTTACCAGACACTAAGGTTGCAGTAATTTGTTATACAGTATTAGAAAACTAATATAGTCACCTTTAGGAATAATAATGCTTGAATGCCTTGTCTGAGTATACTATGACTTTTCATTATCCATCAAGAGTCTACTCAGATGTCCTCCTGACTGACCCCCTCCACAAATACCTTCTTATATGTAGCCACAACACCCTGTGCACACCACCACCATACCAGGAGTACTTACTTGTCTCTCAACCCCATGGTACAGAGAGGACATATACCCTTCAAGGCAAATCCAACACCCAGCATAGCACCTTAGCAGGCTCTGTTAAATAAATAAGTACTCTACAATTACAAATGCTTTCAAGTACTTTATCTCTTTTGAGCCTCACAACCAATCTGAAAGGTAAGCGGAGCAAGTATCACCTGCAATTTCCTAATGAGAAAAGGAGCTCAGAATGCTTGTTCAGAATGTTTATGTGGCTTGTCCAGGGTGCACACTGCAAGATCTGGGTTAGCATACAGGTCTTCTGATACCCACATCCACTTCCCCAGTATTCTTTAGATCACTGTTTCTCAAATTTTTTTCACTAGGATCCATAGTGAAAAAAAATTTTTTTAATTAAAAAGAAACCATTTCACACATAGTCACCTCTAAAACAAAAGTTTTATAGAACCTTAATCTTTATGATATAAGATGCCATATTTTCAAAATAGAAAAAAAGCTGATCCCAACACTTTTACCACTAAAAAAAGAAACTTAGGATATACAAAAAAAATTTATCCAGACTCGAAAGATTTTTTTTTTAAAGGAAAAAAAAGGGGGGGGGGAGCTAAAAGGAAAGTAAAGGAATAAAAAAAAAAAAAAACCAGAAACTTTCTATAATCAAAGGATAAAGAGAATATTCAAAGATCAGGTTAACTACTAATTAAGAAAGAACAGATCTGAAATTAGACTTTTCATCTGCAACAAAGATAAGGGAGAAATACATTCAACCACCTAAGGGAAAATTTTCAACCCAGATCAAGAGCAAACAAATATATCCTCTTGAGTGGGAAAAAGTCCTTTCACACCCCACTAAATTCTTTGGGGCATGGTAACTTCAACACAAAATAATTTGTACTCAAAAATGAAGAAATAATAAAATATACAAATTAAAGAGCCCTTGCTAAAGAATTTCTGTCATCTGTTACAAAAGGACTGTCATCAAGAAAGTTTGTTGTGCTTTTTAATTCACACATGAAATAAATCCTTAAAACAATAATCCAGAACTACTCATCCTGAAGGGTTCCTGAATAGATAAAACTCTGAGACTAGAACAGAATCCAGTTTCTATCAGTAGTTGATCAGTAATGATTTCCTTTTACATTCTGGACAAATATACATATTATCAAATGGGAATGTTTTAAATCTTTTGTACACAAAGTGATTTTTTTTGATCCAGCTGCACTGTCTCACCAGAGGCACCAACCTGAAACTGGGAACTCTGATGTGTTAGCCTGTAACTAGCTTTTTATTGTTACTCTAAAATCCACCTCTCTGCTAATGCATAAAAGCACTTAACTTTCATGGAGAAAAACTAAGCTTTACAAATAAAAAATAATAATAATAATCTCACCAGCACCTTTGAGCATACCCTTCTTAAATTATTTCCACTGTCTGTACATAAATACACTTAAATATATATTTCCCCTGCAAAATCGGGATCACACACTGCTTTTCAATCGTTCAAAACAATATCTTTACATGTTAATAATACTTTTCTGTGGGCTCTAACACAAGCTGTGTATTACTAGGCAACTTACATCTTTGAGCTTTACTCCATCTACCAAAGATTATCTTCATCTTAGGATAATGCACAACTAAATGAAATAATCCGTGTAAAACAGTAAACAAAATGCTTTGCACATAGTAACAACACAATGAATTTTGGCATTTTTAAAGGCTGCATAATAACTCACTACCTAAAACAACTTTCTATTGTTGAAGTTTTAGCCAATTTTTATCTACTAAAAAAACATTGAAATGAAAATCCAAGTGACTTAATTTTTAACGCATCCTAAATTTTCTTAGAATAAATTTCTAGAGATGGCATCCTGGATCAATGCTATTTTACACATTCCCAAACCTAAATGCCTCACATTCACTACCATGACCACTTCTCCACATTATTCTATGTTCCTTAAATAACTGTGTTTTGTAAAGAAACGCCTGCAGTAAATGGCATGAAAAGTAAAACATTTAGTATTTAAATTTTAGTCACTACTTACATTTTACAAGGGAGAATGAATGAGCAAGCTTTCACTGCCATGTTCCAATATATTTCGAGCAATGGCTTACTCTACACGAGCTTTAAATTTAAGAAAACAACTTCAACTTAAGAGTTCGGAACAAACTCAACGCAACAGATGTTTGATTTAATAGTTGTTTAAAAGTTATATAAATGTTACGTTAACAATGTATTAGAAATGCCAAATTAGTCAAATCTCAGGCTCCTTGTAAAAACTAAAATTAAGAGAGTTTTACTCAATCTGTTGAGATTCTGAAAAGCTAGAAACTCAGCAGAAGCCCTCATCTTCACTGGAGAGACCACGTGCGGCCGGAACCACAACACACTTTCACTGGTGCTTAGCAGCCTGTTTAACATTAACACGCCCCCCTCTTCCCTGGAAACTGCCGTTTCCTGAAGCAACAGCATTCGTGAAAAATAAACACAAGACTCTTGAAAAAGAAGAAGAAGCCGGGCTCTGAGGAGGCACAAGCCTGGCCCAGCCTCAGAGTGTTAGCCCCGGCGCCTGTCCCGGATCAACCAAGTTATGCGAAGTGGCTAACTCGTGACAGCCTCGGGCGCTGGACGCCGGCCACACCGCCACCGCTTTCAAGTCCCAACGCTCCGGCAAACAGCCTGGCCTGAAATGGCTCGACCCTTGGCCCTCACCCCAGGCCCAGGGTTTGGATTAGACTTCCGTCACGGTCAGGAGTCCTGCGGCGTCCTGGCCCCTTCGGAGCTCAATCTCGGGTCGGGGATGGGAGAAGGGACTTCAGTCAAGAGGTCAGATATTCCTAGGGACCCTGGTTTTCCCATGCCGCCCTCACTCCTGAGCTGGAGTCTCGGCTGGCTAGGGGAACTTTGCATACGGGTCAAAAATCATGCAAGACCAGAGCCCCTCTCATTTATTCTCAGGCCGGGGGCGGGCATTAGGGAAGAACTCTTAACAGAGGTCAGCAGCTATCATGACCGATCCGGCCACCTCCACCCACTCTCCGGAACGGAGTTCTGGGAGAAGGACCTAGGCCAATTTGAGCTCATTCCCAGTCCAGGGTCGCGGGGGAGCGGGGGGGGCGGGGACGGGGGCGCAATCCTCAGGTTACAGGTCAAGGGTCACGGAAGAACCTCCCCTCTTCTCTGCCCCGGAGCCGGTGTCAAGGGGTATCGAAACTAGGATAGAGCGGCAGCCATAGTACCTGACCAGAGGCCAGCGCCTGCTGCAACTGCTGCTGCTCCTCGCTGATCTTTTGCTTCAGTTTCTTGAACATGGTGCGGCGCGGGCGGTCCTGAGTGTGAATGAGACCCGAGGGGCGGGTGCCCAGAGAGACCCAGCCCGGCAGCGACGGCGGCGTCTCTACACCAGGGACCGAGGGGGCCGGGCCTCGCCGCCTACTCCTCGGGCTCGCGGGCGGATCGGGACTCTCGTCCTGAGATGTCTGCGTCGCCGCCGCCGCGTCTCTTTCTTCTCGGTGCTACTGGTTGGTCTCGGCCCCCCATCCAGCCCCGGCAGCGGCGGCGGCGGCGACAACGGCAGCAGGTGAACGGCGTGCCAAAGACGCCTGCGCGGCCTACGTGGAGCTCGCCAAGGGGCCTCTACGGAGCGCCGCAGTGGACAAGCATGAGGTCGAGCCGGCACATGCGCGCTCGGGTGTCGCTTCCGAACGCGGGAGCGTGCACGGACACGCAGGCGTCTGTGCTGCCCGCACACATTGCGTGCGGTGATACGCTCAGAGCCGGGAGCCGGGGCTGGTCGGAGGCCTGCGCTGATGTGCACGCGGGCTTCGGCGTTGCGAAGTTAGGCTGGGAGGGTACTACTTCGATTGAGCATGGCAGGCCTGGCGGGCCCACGGCGAAGAACCGAGTGTGTAAGCGTCGGGGTGGAAGAAGGGGCGATCAGGGAAACTGCCATGAGCTCTGAAGGACAGTGTACTTTTTGTTCAGTATTTGTGCACATAAGTACCTAGTGCTCCGACTGCTCCCCAGGGGAGTGCCTGACACTAGGCTCCCAGGGTCCAAATGTTTCAGAACGTTACTGTAAGATCTCAGTCATTTGGACATCTGCCTGTATTTTTTTTTTATTTCACTGAAATAATATATTATCACACACACATTCAAAAATCTATGTCATCCTAAGTGCCAGGTACTTGCGGATGTTAAAAGAATTCACAGCCTAGTGGAAGATGGCAGATTCCTAAGAAGTATACATTTAACCCTGGCACATGTGATCATTCTAAAGAATTTAACGTTGATCTGCCTGATTATTCCAACACCTACACTTTGCGCATCTGTGAACATGCTGTACCAAATTGCTTCACATTGCCTTAGATATCAGAGCCTGACAGAGTGTATGATGATCACATTTTAGCAAATTTTATTTGCTAGCAATTATAGGAGCAAGTTTGGTCTCTAAGATTCCATAGCCTGATCCCTAAATATGTTAAAACCAGAGCAGGGCCTGGGCTGAACACTAAATTGACAACTGGGCTAATTCCTCCTGTATTTCATAGTAAACACCTATACTATAATTACCAAAAGAGTTTCTTTTCTTTTTTTTTTTTAAGAAGTCTTTCTTGGTCCTGGCTGGGTAGGACATCGGTTGGTTAAGAGCATTATCCCCATATGCCAATGTTGCAGGTTGAATCCCCAGTCAGGGCACATACAAGAACCAACCTATGAATGCATAAATAAGTGGAACAACGAATTGATGTTTCTCTCATCATTAAAAAAAAATTTTTTTTTTAAAGACAAAACTACAGGGAGAGAACAGACAAGTATTTACTAGGAGCTGAGAGGAGCAGAGGTGGGATGGAAGCAGGGAGGTATGTTAACTATAAAGGGACAGGCTAAGGGAAACTTTGGGATGATAAAACAGTTCATATTGTAACTATCATAGTGGATATACAACTCTATGCATTTGTCAAAACCCAGAAAAAATATATACTACAAACTCTGAATTTCACTGTATAAAAATTTTTAAATAAAAATTAAAAATCTGAGGCTCAGAGAGGTTAAGAATCTCACCCAAAGTAACACAGCTTGCATACAGTGCAGGCAGCATTTGAACCCAGAGCCTTCATGGCTCTAAAGCCTATAGCCGTTCTCCTTTCGGCAGCAAGAAAAAAAAATAAAAATAAAAGTAAAATAAATAAAGTCTATAGCCACACCACCACCCACACTGCCTCTGGATCCCTTAGTGCAGAGGCTGAGACTCCCATTGATACCGATTTCTCTATGTTCAACTCTCTGCTCCCAAACAATCTACCCATTGATTGCTTCCTCACTAACATACATTCTTTCTTAATTGCAAATACATATATTTTTTATTTTATACTTTCAGAGAATTATTCTCAAATGGGAAATTGCTACAGCTGTATTCTTCAGATGCCAGATTTGCCAACTTTTGGGTTTGTTTGTTTTTTTTAAATCTTCACCTGGGATACATTTATGAACTTTAGAGAAAGAGGAAGGGAGAGCAAGAAACAATGGGAGAAGGAAACATCAGTCAGCTGCCACAGGTATGCCACTCTGACCAGGGATCGAACCTGCAGCCTTTCAGTGTACAGATGACACTCCAACCAACTGAGCCATATCTGCCAGGACAAGATTTGCCAACATTTGTTATGTGGGATGGGAGGAACACACATTCATATTCTCTCTCTCTATCTCTCCCTCTTCTCTCTCTCTCTCTCTCTCTCTCTCTCTCTCTCTCTCTCTCTCTCTCTCTCTCTCTCTCTCTCGGTAGCAAGTACCAGAGATCCAGTGTAGATAGAAATACTTGTATCACTATATATGCTGTTTTAATGTACTTCATTAGAACACTTTGAAACATATTATGTTTTTATATTTACTTTGCAAAACAATGAACTATGGCAATATAAATTAAAGTTATAAAACAGTTGGAAAACCTCCCATGAAAGAAAGGTCTACACATCTGTGTCTAAACTTAGACTATGATTCTCCCAGGAGTTTAGCCAACTTTTCAGCCTGAATTCTTTAAAGATTTTTTTTTCGTATCTCTGTTTTCAATTTAATTCCCATTGTAGGCAGAAAGTAAGTAAACTAGGGGATAGTGTGGGGATACATTATTATTGCTATTGGCCATGTTTGACAAATAGGCACAAATAAGAGCAAAAAAAATGACTTTCCCAGAGTCATCTAATCTCAGTGGCAGAGCTGGAACCTGACCTCAGGCCTTCTTGCCCTTTGTCCTGATCTCCAACTATAGTATGTTTAACACTTCCTTCTCTTCTCTGAAACACACCTTGCTCATTTTTTTTAAGCGATTCAATTTAATTTTTAACAGTTTTATGATAGTTTACATGACATGTCCTAGAGCTGTTTGCACAGCTGATGATTCAATCTAATGAGAAGAATCTTTTGAAGGGAAAACCCAACATTGGGCTGAGGGGGGTAAAAATCATATTTTGCCCCTGGCTGGTATGGCTCAGTGCCCCACAAACTGAAATGTCACGGTTTCAATTCCCTGGGTTGTTGGTTGAATCCCCAGTCAGGGAGTGTAGAGAAGGCAGCCAATTGATATTTCTCTCCCTCTCTTACTCTCCTCTTTCCCCTCTCTCTAAAAATAAAAATAAATAATAATTTTTTAAAAAAATCTTCTTTCAAGAATGAGGCCTCTTGGAAACAAAAGGGTTAATGAAATGGAGATAAGGTGTCACATTCCTTGCTCCTTACTAAGTAACCACTTGATAATCGGACACCTAAGTAAACAAATTCACTATTCAAACATTTGGATGCCCTGCTGTGTTGTAAAAAAAAAGAGCACTTGGTCATATTCAAGATGTGTGGGTGGGTTCCTCCAATGGGAAAAGACTGGGTATTGTAATGAATAAGCACAGAGACATTAAACTCGCCGGGTTCAAATCCCAGCTTTGCCATTTATTCTGTAATGGGGAAAATTATTTAACTTCTGTATATTTCAGCTTCTTTATCTGCAAAAAGTAGACATGTCATTGTACCCATCAAACTTCCTGTGAGAATTAGTTTTTAGATAATAAGTTGGTATCTTGGAAAAAAAAAAGTTGGTTGGATTTTTTCCTCACACCTAAAAACTTAAAGTACTAGAAGAAAACATGGGAGGATCTACTTTATACTTTTAGAGTGCTCAAGGCCTTTCTAAACATAACACAAAATTCAGAAACCATTAAAAAATGTAATTTATCAATCAATATAAAAGTTTATTTTCAATTCTGCTTGTCAAAAATGCTGTAATAAAGTAATGTGCAATTCATTGTTTTATTGTAATCACATGACATCAGGAATACATCTGGGAGCAAAAGTAGACAAGCAAAAGGATGTATAATACATGATTTTATGTGGGCAAAACTAATTAAGTGTGAGAAATCAAGGAAAATGTTTTGAGGTGTAGGAGGAATGCATAGAAATGGAGAGGAGGGTTGAGGGGAGATTCTGGGGTGCCTGCCAAGTAGGTACTATTCTGTCTTGCCTGCCAATAGTCTCCGGTCTTTGTCATTGGTGGTGATTACAAAGATATGTTTGAAATATTTGTTTCCTGATTGTGGTGGTAGGTTTACAGATCTATACATATGTTAAAACTTAATGTACATTGGAAGTAAGATTCCACTTTACTGTATATAAATTTTATTTATTTATTCTTTAAATTTATATTTATTGATTTGAGAGCGAGAGAGAGAGAAACATCAATTCGTTGTTCCACTTATTTATGCATTCATTGGTTGATTCTTACATGTGCCCTGACTGGGGATCGAACGTGCAACTGTGGCAGGTCAGGACGACACCCTAACCAACGGAGCTTCCTGGCCAGGGCTTTATATAAATCTTAAAATAATACTTTGCCATGAAAACAAATAAGTAGGCACAAAATTGCAACAACAAAATGAAGCAGCTCTATGCATATGGATATGGGGAGGTCTCAAGATTTTTTGTTAAGCGAGAAATCAAAATGCACATTGTATATAGCATTCTACCATTAGTGTGATTAAAAATTATATTCATATATATATGTTAGGTTGAATCTCATGGAAATGCTGATATTTTTGAACTTCAAAAATGGCAATTTCATATGGCTCAACAGATATATGTATGCATATTAGTAAACAGATATTACAAAATATATCTGGAAAGACGCATAAGAAATCAGTGAGAGTGGTTGCCATTGGTGAAGGAAACTAGGCAGCTTGAAGTATCACCATTGGGATTTACTTTTATGTCTTTTTTATCTTTTGAATCTGTCTGGGAGGATAATTTCCCCTCTCTATCCTGATTTAGCTTTTATGACTGGGCTAATAATAAAACAATAAAATTGACACAAGACTAGATTAACAGGGAAAAAAAAAACAATTTAATATGTGTGCACAGGAGAATCACAATATGAGGCTCCACAATGAAACCAGGTATCTTTTTATACTTTCTAGACAAATAAAACAATAAATTTGTAAAGAATTGATGGAACAAATGGGAAAAAATGTTAGTGCTCATTCAAAAGGACTGTAAGCAAGGTTTGGAGATTCATTAATGAGAAATTTAAACAAAGTAGTAAATTAGAAAAGAGGCAACAAGTCTTAGCTCTGAGTTGTTTGACTCTAACAAGGCGGGGTGTCTTCCAGG